AAGTTATGAAGTATTTTAAATGTTTTTGGGCCTCTCCCTCGGGAGATGTGTTCTAGCCTCTTGCAATTATCAGCTACTTAAGTGACCAGAGAGTGTCAAGGTCTGGGAAGCACAGAGGTCTAGACTGAAATCCGCCTGCCATTTATTAGCTATATGGCCCTCAGCAAGTCATAACTTCCTTGGGGCTCAGATAATAATAAAAGGCTGTGTATTACAGTGGTTAACAATGAAGGCAGATTTGGGTTTAAATCTAGGGTATACAACTGAAAAAGTCCATTTGACCTAGGACAGACTTCACTTTTCTAAGTCTTGGCTTTCTCATCTTTAAATCTATTAGGGTCATGAAGACAAAGTGAGATGATCCAAGAAAAGTGAGCATTTAGTAAATGCGCAGTAAATGGTAACTATTATTATAAAACTATTATGTCTTAGAAGAGTCTACCTGACAAGGATATGACATGCCTTGTAGGATTAAGGGAGCAAGTACATTGGAGCACCAGGAGTTCCTTTTCTCTGACCCATCTCCCAGACCCTGAAGATGTGTTTCTTCCATGTGCTACTGTCTCATCCACTAGGTATTGCCCTATGCCTCATCCCCCGACCCCTGTCCACTTTCTTTTTGAGATAGGAGTCTCACTCTTGCCCAGGCTGGATTATGGTGGCGCGATCTCAGCTAACTGCACCCTCCGCCTCCAGGGTTCAAGTGATTCTCCTGCCTCAGCCTCCTGAGTAGCTGGGACTACAGGTGTGCACCACCATGTCCAGCTAATTTTTGGATTTTTAGCAGAGACAGGGTTTCACCATGTTGACCAGGCTGATCTTGAACAGGAGCTGCCTGCCTTGGGCTCCCAAAGTTCTGGGATTACAGGTGTGAGCAACTGCCTCTGGCCTGCCTCATCCCTTTTGAAATAAGCTCTTTGAAGTCTGGGCATGGTGGCTCAAGCCTGTAATCCCAGCACTTTGGGAGGCCGAGGCGGGTGGATCACGAGGTCAAGAGATCACGAGGTCAAAAAAAAAAAAAAGAAAAAGAAAACTCAACCAATTGAAATAAGCTCTTTGAGCCCTCTAAGGTGGTAATTAGCGGAAGAATTTAAGGTTCTAATGGTAGAGATCATATCTATTTGACTTCTTTAGGCAGGTATCTTCTAGGCTCCTCTTGAGACGCCCAGAGTTTTTCTAGTATCCTGAGGAAACACGTGCACTTAAGCAATGGCCTTCTAGAGACCAAGTCTCTGCTTCTGCGGCCTAACCTTGAGAACTGTGCCTCTGTGACCTGTTTGGCACAAACACCATTCTGTGTTAACCTGCTAAGTTGTTTCGTGACAGGAAAGGGTCCCTTGTGACCCTCAGTGCACTTCGTACAGGCTCTAACTTGATCAGCCTTTACAGAGTACACTGTTTCTAGTGCTGGGACTGTGACTATATTATGGTGGCAGACTTCCTTCTCCTCTTTAACCTCAGTCAGCGCCCACATGGAGGTGGGCTTCCCTGAGGACTGGTTCATCTAATTCTTACACATATATACATATATATATTTAAAAAATTTTTTTGGGGGGCGGTCTCACTGTGTTGCCTAGGATGGTCTCCAACTCCTGGCCTTAAGCGATCCTCCCTTCTCGACCTCTCAACATGCTGGGATTATAGGTGTGAGCCACTGTGCCCTGCCCTCATGTGATTTTTTTATCCATATGCTTAAGAGAGTACTTTTGGTCGGGCGCGGTGGCTCACGCCTGTAATCCCAGCACTTTGGGAGGCTGAGGCGGGTGGATCACGAGGTCAAGAGATCGAGACCATCCTGGTCAACATGGTGAAACCCCATGTCTACTAAAAATACAAAAATTAGCAGGGCATGGTGGCGCGTGCCTGTAATCCCAGCTACTCAGGAGGCTGAGGCAGGAGAATTGCCTGAACCCAGGAGGCAGAGGTTGCGGTGAGCCGAGATCGCGCCATTGCACTCCAGCCTGGGTAACGAGAGCAAAACTCCGTCTCAAAAAAAAAAAAAAAAACAAAAAACTAAAAAACTGTTCTGTGCAGGAAACACGTGAGGGGAGAAGAAAAGACAGACAATCCCTTAATCCCTTTAAGGGTAAACAAGCTTTATCCCACATAAATGGCAATACAGATGTAATCAGCAAGTTAGTATAAGTAAATTATATCATAAGCAAAAAATATAATAAACAGATTGATATAATAAGCAAATTGCAATGGGAAGAGGAGAAGGGAAGATATTTACACTCACACTATGGAGGATTCACCACCAGATTGGAAAGCGACAGCTGGGACTCCAGCGTCAGCCACTCATCCCTGCACAGATAAGCAGTCTCATGAAGCTTCTGGGAAGTCTAGGACCTAAGGTCTTGTTTGTAATGAGTTGATTGGCATGACGCCCAGTCATGAGGGCCCTTCTCAACTGGGCTCAAGGAACACAAAAAGGTCAACTTGTTGCAATTGTCTATTGTTTTTCAATAACTAATGTATAGGAATAGATCGAAATAGAGATTTCTCTCCAAAACAGCGCTGGATGAACGCCTCAAGGGGCTCACACAACCTGTTCTGGGACTTCATTGTTTGTGTACACATTCAACTGAGTTCAGATTTAATATTTAACTTTTCCTCCACAGGGGTCAAACGTGACAGGAGGCATTCTTGGGAGGATTAATCACCAGCTCCAAAGGGAATTATAAATTAGAGCAGTTTGAGGCCTGGTGTTCTGGGAGTTGAGGTGAGGAGAATCACTTGAGGCCAGGAGTTCAAGACCATCCTGGTCAACATGGTGACACCCCGTCTCTACCAAATATACAAAAATTAGCTGGGCATGGTGATGTGCACCTGTAGACCCAGCTACTCAGGAGGCTGAAGTGGGAGGATACCTTGAGCCTGAGAAGTCAAGGCTACTGCAGTGAGCCACGATCATGCTATCACACTCCAGCCTGGGTGACAGTGAGACCCTGTCTCAAAACAAAAAAACAAGTTTGGCACAGTGGCTCACGCCTGTAATCCCAGCACTTTCGGGAGACCAAGGTGGGTGGATCACTTAAGGTCAGGAGTTTAAGACCAGTCTGGCCAACAGGGCGAAACCCCATCTCTACTAAAAATACAAAAATTAGCTGGGCATGATGGCTCACATCTGTAATCCCAGCTACTCAGAGGAGGCTGAGGGAGAATTGCTTGAACTGGGAAAGCAGAGGCTGCAGTGAGCCGAGATCGCGCCACTGCACTTAAGTCTAGGTGACGGAGTAAGACTCTGTCTCAGAAAATAAAAATAAAAGCACAAAAGAAACAGCTTGAGGGGCTTTCTGTGTGAAAGTAATGAGAGATGGGACTGAAAAAGAGCGTGTGACTCCTGAAGAGCCTTGTAAATCACTAAGAGCTTTGGGCTTTACCCTGTAGGTTTTCATATGCATTTTAGTGGGCTCTCTCCAGCAGGGAGAGGAGAAAAGAGAGACAGGAAAACCGGTTGGCTGCGACTGACTGTTCAAGAATTACCAAGAGCCTGAAGTTCAAGGGCAGTGGAAAGGCTGAAGACAGTTTTCCGTTTGGTTATTTTTTGTTTCTATACGGAGGCGGTGGGGGAGGTTTAAAATAAAAATGCTCTCCTTGCCCTCTGCTTTTTTTTTTTTTTTTTTTGAGACGGAGTTTCGCTCTTGTTACCCAGAGTGCAATGGCGGGATCTCGGCTCACCGCAACCTCCGCCTCCTGGGTTCAGGCAATTCTCCTGCCTCAGCCTCCTGAGTAGCTGGGATTACAGGCACGTGCCACCATGCCCAGCTAACTTTTTTTGTATTTTTAGTAGAGACGGGGTTTCACCATGTTGACAAGGATGGTCTCGATCTCTTGACCTCGTGATCCACCCGCCTCAGCCTCCCAAAGTGCTGGGATTACAGGCTTGAGCCACCGCGCCCGGCCTTGCTCTCTGCTTTTTTCGAAATCAGAAGTGCTGTAATCCCAGCACTTTGGGAGGCCGAGGCGGGCGGATCACGAGGTCGAGAGATCGAGACCATCTGGTCAACATGGTGAAACCCCGTCTCTACTAAAAATACAAAACATTAGCTGGGCATGGTGGCGTGTGCCTGTAATCCCAGCTACTCAGGAGGCTGAGGCAGGAGAATTGTCTGAACCCAGGAGGCGGAGGTTGTGGTGAGCCGAGATCGCGCCATTGCACTCCAGCCTGGGTAACAAGAGCCAAACTCCTTCTCAAAAAAAAAAAAAAAAAAAAGAAAAAAAAAATTCGCCTGGCGTGGTGGCGCATGCCTGTAGTCCCAGCTACTCGGGAGGCTGGGATGAGAGGGTCCTCTGAGCCCACGGGTTGGAGGTTACGTGAGCTGTGATAGCGCCACGCACTCCAGCCTGGCCGACAGAGCGACGAGATTCTGTCTCAGAAAAAAAGAAAGAAAAAATAAAATTGAGCCTGATCCTCTTTCCTGAGGTTTTGTCCCCCAGGTGACCGTGGGCGGCGCGTTACCCCTGCTCAGTTCTCGGCCTGGCACGGCAATCTCCCGTTTCCGAGCTGCTCTCTTCAAATACTCTTTCGTGGCTGGGTTTTCGGCCGGGGAATAGGGGCGGGGCGGGCAGAGGAAACTTCGCCAGTGACTAACGGCGAGTGCCACAGTCCGTGACACCGAAGCCCACGGGAGCACCCGGGACCCGCCCACCTCCCGCGGCAGCGCTCCGAGGAGCGGGGCGGAGCTGGGCGGGGCTTGGGGCGGAGGTCCCGCCGGGAACCGCGGGTGGGCGGGGCCGGGCCCGTGAGAATCTCCGCCGGAACCCACTCGGCTCCTTTGCGAACGGAGCAGGTCGGATCCCAGGGCGGGTTCAGATTCGGAGGGCGAGGTTTGAGGCCAAGCCCCTGTCGCAGCCTGAGACTGCGGGCTTTTTGCCTCTGCAGGGGCGGGGTAGGGCGGGGACGGGGGCGGAGTTTTGAGCCCAGCTCTTGAGTTCTCGGCTCTGATTGAGCAGGCGGGTTTTGAGGCGGATCTTGGGGCGGGGCCCGCTCCGCTTTTTGACAGCTGCCTCTTGCACAGCCGCAGCAAAGTCCGTGGGTTCGGAAACCTGTGCCCCGGCTGTCCGCGCGTCCCCGTCCCCCGTGGCCCCGACCCCGGCCATGAAGCGTATCTTCTCCTGCTCCAGCTCACAGGTGGCGGTAGGTGCCAAAATGTGTGGGAGGATGGAGCTGGGGTCCGAGCTCCGGGGTGAGAGAAGTGCTGAGTCCCACCTCAATGCATCATCGCCTTTCTTTTTATCAGGATTTCTAGCTCTTCTGCTCTCACAAGGAAGCCCGCCAGCTTTGCCTTCCTCGAGACCCTGTCCTGCAGCTTCTGGCTTGCCTTCCTCACCTCTGCCCCCCCCAGGGTCCTTTCCCTAGCCCCTCTGTCCTCCAAGCATCTGCACTCCCAGTATCTGGTACGTTTTCTGCAGCCCTGTCCCCTTCCCATGGCCCTGCCCCTACTTCTGCTCTGTCTCCCAATACCAAACCACCCCCAAACGTCTTCCCGGCCCCTGCCTGGCCCCAGGCTCCATTCTACACCACCAGCTCATGCCCCAGAGCCCCATTTTCCAGCCCTATCCTGTCCCCACAATCTTGCCCTCCCACATAGTTCTATCCCTGCAGTTTCCTATTAGTTCAACAATGACTCCCTGCCCTGTGCCTTCCGCGAACCCTTTTTCACAATCTCCTCTGCCATTTTCTCCCTCCTGCCCCATGCCACTTTTGCTCCCATCTCTCACGAGCACTGCTGTTCTGCACACATCACTCCAAACCTTTTTCCAATTGACGGTCCCACAACAGCAACCTTCTGTTCTCGCCTTCAACCTCTGCCCTACTCTGCCCAGTGGTCGCTAATCCCACTTTTCCTCTCTTTGCCTGGACTTCCTCCTGCCTGCTTGCTGTGAGTTAATATTGCAGTCTGGCCGGCCTCACAGGCACTGCCAGAGGATGCACACTCGCCTGGCTGCTCCCCAGGGACTGGGTGAGTTGCCTGCAGAATCCACCCCAGCCAGTTCACTGCAGTGTCTGATCATCAGACTGGTTCCTGGGCCAGTCAAGACCTTAATGCCTGCCTTTCCCCAGATTATTCATTTCCTGAACCCTTGCCCAGTTGTTTAGGGATTATACCCTCCATTTCCTTTGGTTGAGTTGGGGGAAAGTGATGATGAGAGAAGAGGATAGAGCAGACTCTGAGTGTTCCCAGCAGAAGTCACTCTATTCTCTCAGGAAAAAACAAAAAACAAACAAACAAAAAAAAACATAAGATCATAGATGCCGGGCTCTGTGGCTCACGCCTGTAATCCCAGCACTTTGGGAGGCCGAGGTGGGTGGGCGGATCACCTGAGGTCAGGAGCTTGAGACCAGCCTGGCCAACATGGAGAAACCCTATATTGTTTAAAAAAGAGAGAAAGAGAGAGAGAGAGAGAAAGAGAGAGAGAGAGAGAGAGAGAGAGAGAGATTGCAGATGGTGGTGGCTTAGGGAGGGTATTGCTTCCTCTTCTCTAAAGATCTCTTACATAGAGCCCCTCCCTTACCTGAAAATGGAATTTTCTGTAGAGGTTGGGGTTATGGCTAATTTAGAAGGAAATCAGCCAGCTACTTGTAGCAATATTGCTTTGCTAACTTGACTTAGTAGTATCGCTCATACGCAAATATGAGAAATGTTCAATTAGCTCATTCTGCATGGGCAGGTCACAGAATTCTGGAAGCAAGCTATGAGGCAAGAGCAGGACTCTGTTGAGACCTGTCCTTGTCCCACTGACATTTGCATCTCCACTTACTTTCCACACATTGATCAACCAATCAAAAGCTATTTACTATTATGTGCACCCGAAACTGAGGATGCTCAGACTCAGTCTTAACTCATAATGATTTCTTAGAAATTCATAGGGACTCTTCCTTAGTTACTGAAAGGATTCAATGTTGCCCTTCCCTTACAGATTTGTGGAGTCTGCCTGCTCCTTAGGAATAGAGAAACTATTTCATTCGTTCTGATCTTCCAATCCTTGGGCAGTACCTCCTGTCCAATATGCTAGAGTGAGCAATGGGCTGGCTCTTAGAATTTGGAACCACTCTTCTATCCTCCTTGACTCCAGCTGCATAGAGGTTTGAACATAAAGGATATGGCTGGGCGTGGTGGCTCAAGCCTGTAATCCCAGCACTTTGGGAGGCCGAGGCGGGTGGATCACGAGGTCGAGAGATCGAGACCATCCTGGTCAACATGGTGAAACCCCGTCTCTACTAAAAATACAAAAAAATTAGCTGGGCATGGTGGCGCGTGCCTGTAATCCCAGCTACTCAGGAGGCTGAGGCAGGAGAATTGCCTGAGCCCAGGAGGCGGAGGTTGCGGTGAGCCGAGATCGCGCCATTGCACTCCAGCCTGGGTAACAAGAGCGAAACTCTGTCTCAAAAAAATAAAAAATAAAATAAAAACCACCCATTCTAAACTCTTAAGATAACAAGATCTTTACTATAATGAGATTATGGGAAGTAAGTTGGATGGGCTTAGAATTATCTATCTCTCTCTATATATATAAAGACGGGGTTTCACCGTGTTGGTCAGGCTGGTCTTGAACTCCCGACCTCAGGTGATCCACCCGCCTTGGCCTCCAAAGTGCTTGGATTACAGATGTGAGCCACCACACCCGGCCTAGAATTATCTAGCTGGAAAGAAAACTGTTTCTTCAGAGAGATTGGAGTCATAGAAAGCTTGCAAATAGGCCAATTTCAGCTGGAAATTGGTTCCTCATGAAATTTCCCCACATTTCTCATGCTAAATTCCTCCACTTCCTTGGGTGGCTAACTACCCTGGACCTATTTGCCAGAATAGTGTGGCAGTCTTTCTGGCCACTCCAAAAGCCTGGCTTCCCAGTCACATTGGAAGACTGCCTCTACCCATCTCCATTCACACACCTGGGTCCAGGGCAGAGTCCTGCACCCTCAGTCTGAGGTAAGGACTCAAAAAGCAGTGATCATTTTTTTTTTTCTTGAGACGGAGTTTCACTCTTGTCCGCCCCATGCTGGAGTGCAGTGGCACGATCTCGGCTCACCGCAACCTCCGCCTCCAGGGTTCAAGCGATTCTCCTACCTCGGCATCCTGAGTAGCTGGGATTACAGGCATGTGCCACCATGCTTGGCTAATTTTTGTATTATTAGTAGAGACAGGGTTTCACCATGTTGCCCAGGCTAGTCTTGAACTCCTGACCTCAGGTGATTAGCCTGCCTTGGCTTCCCAAAGTGCTGGGATTACAGGGTGAGCCGCCACCATGCCCAGCATGATCTTTTCTTCTTTTTTAGAGAGAGACGGGGGTTTCACCATATTGGTCAGGCTGGTCTCGAACTCCTAACCTCAGGTGGGCCACCCGCCTCGGCCTCCCAAAGTGCTGGGATTACAGGCGTGAGCCACCGCGCCCGGCCCCAGCAGGATCATTTTAAAGCTAATCTAAGTTATTCAGTATATAGGAAAATCAACAAACAAAAACCCAACTCCTATCATCGCATTTTATTTTAGTCAAGTAGAGGATATCTTTGAAGGTGTCTTACATATGAGCTTCCTCTGCCTAGGTAGACCAGAAGTAGACCAGAAGAGCGCTTTAAATAATGGGCACTCGATCAGCTTAGCAGAAGGTCTATTGCAATTAAAACATTGAGAATTAGGTCCTGGTTCCTCTGAGATAGGCTTTCTGTTTCCACTCACCTGACCTGCAGCAGAAGTCATTCCTTCTCTCGATGCCTGCTGCTTCGCTTCCACGTTATAGGATGCTTATAAGTACACAGCCAGAGAGATAAGGAGAGGGTGCAATCACTTCTACAAAAGTCCTCTAATCTCAGCTACAGACATGCAAAGCTTATACTTATTAAGTCTGCTGATTAATTTGGTGATTGCTCCCTTGAGGCTGTGACCATAATCTAGTGCCTCCTTTCCAAGGTACTAGGGTAAGCTACAGACTACATCTTAACCTTTGAAAGCATCCCTCCCTCCTTTATTCCAGCCCTACAGAGGCTCAGCCATGAAAAATTTCCACCCATTCTGAACTCTACTTAGTACAATGAGATTATAGAAAGTAAATTGGGTAGATTTAGATCTAGCTAGAAAGAAAAGTATCCAGGCCAAGCGTGGTGGCTCACACCTATAATCCCAGCACTTTGGGAGCCCAGGGTGGAGAGGATCACTTGAATTGAGGAGTTTGGGACCAGCCCGGGCAATGCAGTGAGACCCCATCTCTTAAAAAAAAAAAAAAATCACCTGGGTGTGGTGGAGCGTGCCTGTAGTCCCAGCTACTCAGCAGAATGAGGTGGGAGGATTACCTGAACCCAGAGGTCAAGGCTGCAGTGAGCCATCATCAGGCCACTGCACTTTAACCTGGGCAACAGAGCAAGACTCTGTCTCAAAAAATAAATAAATAAATAAATAAATAAATAAATAAATAAATAAATAAAAAGAAGTGGAAAGAAAAGAATCTATATTGGTAAGAAGCATCTTTACCATCTATACAGCCTGGCTGTTATTCACTGGCTGATCTCAGCAAGATCCCTTCCACTCCCCTGGCTGGAGAATTCTGAGCCCAGGAACATCTAAGGTGTGCCCAGGAAGGATGGGGACTGGAAGTAATATTTATTGTGCATCTACTATGTGACAGACACAGAGCTAGATGCCTTATATGTTGTTACAGTATTAGGAAACTGAGATTTGCCGGGCACAGTGGCTCACGCCTGTAATCCCAGCACATTGGGAGGCTGAGTCGGGCGGATCACCTGAGGTTAGGAGTTTGAGACCAGCCTGACCAATATGGTGAAAGCCCGTCTTGAAAAAAAAAAAAAAAAAGGAAACTGAGATTCAGAGATGTCGTTACATGCCTAAATTCACAGAGGCAGGCAGTGTTAGAGTTGACTTTAAACAGAACTACAGGTTGAGGTCGGCTGATGGCAGCGCCCTGTCATGGGGGCGTAGTCCCAGCTCTCTGCTTTCCTGGGGGAGACCTGGTCACCAAAGGGCATGAAAAAATGCATTCTTTTTTTTTTTTTTTTTTTTTTTTGAGACAGAGTTTCGCTCTTGTTACCCAGGCAGGAGTGCAATGGCGCGATCTCGGCTCACCGCAACCTCCGCCTCCTGGGTTCAAGCAATTCTCCTGCCTCAGCCTCCTGAGTAGCTGGGATTACAGGCACGCACCACCATGCCCAGCTAATTTTTTTTGTATTTTTAGTAGAGACGGGGTTTCACCTTGTTGACCAAGGTTGGTCTCGATCTATTGACCTTGTGATCCACCCGCCTCGGCCTCCCAAAGTGCTGGGATTACAGGCTTGAGCCACCGCGCCTGAAAAAATGCATTCTTACATGTCAGAGCCTGTCAGTATGAGGAGGAGTCCTTTTGCTTATTTTGTTCCTTGAGAGTTAACCTGTTTGGAGTCTCGAGCAGGCAGTAAAGTCTGAGGGTGGGTGGCTTTTCCCTGCAAGCAACTCGAGACTTTATCTGGAAATAAGTAAATCTTTTTCTATAGCTTGTAGTAGTATGGCCTGGGTTTTTTTGTTTTGTTTTGTTTTGTTTTGTTTTGTTTTTTGAAATAGAGTCTTGCTCTGTTGCCCAGGCTGGAATGCAATGGTGTCATCTTGACTCACTGCAATCTCTACCTCCTGGGTTAAAGCGATTCTCCTGCCTTAGCCTCCCAAGCAGCTGGGATTACAGGCAACTGCCACCATGCCCGGCTAATTATTTTTGTTTTTAGTAGAGATGGAGTTTCAGCATGTTAGCTAGGCTGGTCTCAAACTCCTGACCTCAGGTGATCCACCCACCTAGGCCTCCCAAGGTGCTGGGATTTTGAGCCACCACACCCGGCCGTGGCGTGGATTCTAATTCCAAGTGTGCCACTCCATTTCATGATCTTGGATGGTTATCTTATCTCGGTATACTTTCGTTTCTTCTGTCCAAGAGGTGGAATTAATAGTCCTAACTTTCCAGGGATGTCGAGAGACTAATTGACATAGCACGTGAAAGGACCGTGAGAAGTTACAACTTCCGTACAGGAGTGTTAACTCAGAATCCATCTCCCTTAGATAATTGTAAGGTTTGGACATTTAAAACTTCCCTGTGCTTAAAAAAACAAAACAAAACCAAACAAACAAACAAAAAAAACAAAAAAACGCTGGGTGTGGTGGCTCACACCTGTAATCCAAGCACTTTGGAGGCCAAGGTGGGCGGATCACCTGAGGTTGGGAGTTCAAGACCAGCCTGACCAACATGGTGAAACTCCGTCTTCAAACAAACAAACAAATAAATAAATAAACTTCCCTGTGGTTGAGTAATAATTTGCCCTGGCTATGTAAACAGTATTTGAAAATGAGTTATTGGGCTTCCACAGATCCTATTTTTCTTCCCCCCTTCAATAACCTCTTGCTGAGATGATACCTCATAAAATGTAATGTGCCACCACCAACCCCCACTGCTTCCTGTTTTGTTACAAGGATGCCTTACATTTGGATGGCTCTTTCCAGTTTATAAAGAGAATTTGTACATATTAGCTTGTGTTAACAGTCACAGCATGATGAGGCAGTCGTGCCACATTTTATAGAAGGGGAAACAGGTTAAAGGTGTCGAATGGCTTACTCTAGGTCACACAGTCGAGAATGTAGCTGAACTACGTCCCAAACTCAGGCCAGCGAACAAAATATCCATCCAGCACCCTTTACATCAGACCACAGATCTTTGCATTTATCTTTTCCTTTTTATTCCCTTCTCTGGACAAAACCAGGCTTTTCTGTACTTTCAGCCTTGGGTGTTTTTACATAGCTGTCTCACGCCCTGTAACGCTTCAATTATTGTAATTACCCCGCCACCCGCAAAACTCAAGCTGGATTGAGAGAACAATGCATGCCCAGGTGTGGCTACTGTCGAGACAGCTGCTGCTCCCCGCCGGGGAAACTGGGAGGGAGGAGAAGGGGAGCTGGCTCCTGCTGCTTCCTCCAGCAGAGCTAGAAACCTCTTTGCTGGGCCGGGCGCAGTGGCTCAAGCCTGTAATCCCAGCACTCTGGGAGGCCAAGGCGGGTGGATCACGAGGTCAAGAGATCGAGACCATCCTGGTCAACAAGGTGAAACCCCGTCTCTACTAAAAATACGAAAAATTAGCTGGGCATGGTGGCACGTGCCTGTCATCCCAGCTACTCAGGAGGCTGAGGCAGGAGAATTGCTTGAACCCAGGAGGCGGAGGTTGCGGTGAGCCGAGATCGCGCCATTGCACTCCAGCCTGGGTAACAAGAGCGAAACTCTGTCTCAAAAAAAAAAAAAAAAAAAAAAGAAAGAAACCTCTTTGCCTTTTAGTTGTTGTTGCCACGGAAAGGGCAGAGACATTCGCCAAAGGGCATGGATATGATATGGAAAAACAGAAACTAGTTTTGTCTTTTTTTTTTTTGAGACGGAGTCTTGTTTTGGCGCCAGGCGCCAGGCAGTGGCGTGATCTTGGCTCACTGCAACCTCTGCCGGCCAGGTTCAAGCAATTCTCCTGCCTCAGCCTCCCAAGTAGCTGGGACTACAGGCACGCACCACCATGCCCAGCTAATTTTTGTATTTTTTTTAGTAGACACGGGGTTTTACCTTGTTGGCCAGGATGGTCTCGATCTCTTGACCTTGTGATCCTCCCGCCTCGGCCTCCCATAGTGCTGGGATTACAGGTGTGAGCCACTGCGACTGGCCTAGTTTCGTCTTTTAATTTTGGGGCCCAAAGCTAATGAGCAGAGATGGAATGGTTAGGTACTGGGACTCCTAGCTGTAACCTGAGGCTCGGTGCCTTTATGAACTTCTCAAACAACTGAGGACAAAAAGCAGCAGGGGTCTGGGGTGGAGGCGGTGGTGAGAGGCAACGTGAGCCCTCAGGTGTGGTCAGGTTGATTCCATTTGCTCCAGCAAGACCTAGAAAGCAGAAGGGAAAAGATTGCTCTGAGGCTGGGCGCCGAACAGCAACCCTCATCATCATCATGATAAAGTGACATTTGAAATACTGTGCATTCAGCACTCATAAATGATTTTTTTTTTTTTTTTGAGACGGAGTTTCGCTCTTGTTGCCCAGGCTGGAGTGCAATGGCGCGATCTCGGCTCACCGCAACCTCCGCCTCCTGGGTTCAGGCAATTCTCCTGCCTCAGCCTCCTGAGTAGCTGGGATTACAGGCACGCGCCACCATGCCCAGCTAATTTTTAGTATTTTTAGTAGAGACGGGGTTTCACCATGTTGACCAGGATGGTCTCGATCTCTCGACCTCGTGATCCACCCGCCTCGGCCTCCCAAAGTGCTGGGATTACAGGCTTGAGCCACCGCGCCCGGCCTCATAAATGATTTTTAATTCCGTGGTCCAGGGTCCTTTTGGCGCAGGGCTGGAAATAACCAGCAATAGTTGTTGGTGGCATATTAGCTGGTTAAGATTTAGCTGGAACCACCTAAGAAGGACTAAATAGGGCCAGGCGCGGTGGCTCACGCCTGTAATCCCAGCCCTTTGGGAGGCCGAGGCGGGTGGATCACCTGCCGTCAGGAGTTCGAGACCAGCCTGGCCAACATGGAGAAACCCCATCTCTAAAAAAAAAAAATAATAATAAAAGTCTATTAAAAAAAAAGAAGGACTAAATGGTCTAGGACAGGCGTCCCCAAACTTTTTACACAGGGGGCCAGTTCACTGTCCCTCAGACCGTTGGAGGGCCGCCACATACTGTGCTCCTCTCACTGACCACCAATGAAAGGAGATGCCCCTTCCTGAAGTGCGGCGGGGGGCCGGATCAATGGCCTCAGGGGGCCGCATGCGGCCCGCGGGCCCGTAGTTTGGGGACGCCTGGTCTAGGATGTGTGTGTGACTTGTGGAAGACTTCCTTTTCTCTTGTTTGGCACCCTAACCACTTGCCTCTTCTCTTTCTCCATACCGCCCCCATCCCGTGTTCACACAACCTGGGGGTCTGGACCAGGTGGAGAGATGGAACCGTCGTGACCAGAAGCTGCTGGAGGCAGTGCAGCGGGGGGATGTGGGGCGCGTGGCTGCCCTGGCCTCCAGGAAGTCAGCCCGCCCCACCAAGCTGGACTCCAACGGCCAGTCCCCGTAAGTCAGTCCTCCGGCCCCGGCCCCTCGTATGTGGCTCCCTTTCAAAGCCCCCAAATCCAATACGATACAGGACCAGGGAATGCCTACAACTTCAGAGCTCCGTTCATTGTCTTCATTAGCAAGGATATCACTAGTTTTCGCTACATGTAAATGCTACACAAAGTGAGGGAAGAAGGCCGGGCGCGGTGGCTCACGCCTGTAATCCCAGCACTTTGGGAGGCCGAGGCGGGTGGATCACGAGGTCAAGAGATCGAGACCATCCTGGTCAACATGGTGAAACTCCGTCTCTACTAAAAATACAAAAAATGAGCTGGGCATGGTGGCGCGTGCCTGTCATCCCAGCTACTCAGGAGGCTGAGGCAGGAGAATTGCCTGAACCCAGGAGGCGGAGGCTGCGGTGAGCCGAGATCGCGCCATTGCACTCCAGCCTGGGTAACAAGAGCGAAACTCCGTCTCTCAAAAAAAAAAAAAAAAAAAAAAAAAAAAAGTGAGGGAAGAAATTATTGTCCCTGAGTTCCACCCACTTCACAACCCAGACTGACACCACTGACTCGGGAAGTACCCAAAGCCCATTAAACAAACAGAAAATGAATAGGTACACTAACTAGAGTGTTTCTCCATTGCACAAGCAGGAAGGTGTGTATCTCGGGAAACTGGAAACGAAGTGGTGACTTTGGGACTCACATGGCTGGAGGGAGCGCTGATTAAGTCAAGGGAAATGTTATCTTTGTCTCTACCCAAAGCCTTCGAATGTGCAGCCTTTTGCTCTGCTCTGACTGACTCTTTCAGTGACACTGTCACTTCCACTAAGGGTTCTGTGCCCAGAGCGGCAGGTAATTATGTATTCCCCTAGCCATGCCTGCAATCATCTGAGATTCCTTGAGACCCGTAGCTCTGATTTCTTCCTTGCTTCTAACTTCCTTTACGACTGGAGGCCGTATAGACTTCTCTTTCTCAGAAATTCAAGCTAGGGGAGCTTCTCTTCCTGCTTTTAGGAGCTTGGGGCTAGGGAGCGTAGGAAGAAGGGCTTCCTGAGAGTCTCCCATCCCTCATCCCTGGTCCCCTCTTGGCCTTGATTCTGGCAGGTTTCATCTGGCAGCCTCCAAAGGCCTGACAGAGTGTCTGACTATACTGCTCGCAAACGGGGCTGACGTCAACAGCAAGAATGAGGATGGTGAGCGAGACGGAGAGCTGGGCCACGCTGCTGGCTTGCACCTGGACAGCAGCGGAGGGGGGCGGTGCTGGGCTCTGCTGGAGGTTCCTACTGTGGCCCCTTGCTTCTCTCCTCAGTAAGTTCTGGCCGGCATCCGTCCAGAAGTTCCCCTCCCTGTAAGCTGGGCACACCTCACCCCCACTCCCACCTTCATCACAGGTACCGGGCACTTGGGGAACAGGAATTTCTGGCCCCGTGTGGCTGAAAGCTTCTCTCCCTAATCTCCTGATTATCTGTGCGTCTCTTGCCTTCCCTCCCTGTGAGTCATCGGCATGCATGGGGACACCTACCCTCCTTCTCCCCGTCTTTCTGTCTTTCTGTTTCCAGGAAGCACTGCCCTGCACTTGGCCACCATCTCCTGCCAGCCACAGTGTGTCAAGGTCCTGCTTCAGGTAACAGCAACCCCCTGACTACTCTTGGGAAGGGAAGAAGTGGACCCCGAGTTTTCTAACTTTGTCTCATAGTCGCAAGGAATAGTTGGCCAAATGTGCTGGCCTCATCCCCAGTGGGAGGGTTCATAAGAACACATTTATTTAACACCTACTATGTAGTCACCATGCTCGATACTGCCTTCGAGGGCAGCTTATAAAGTCGAGTTGCCAGGAACGATCGATTTTGCCGTTATCAGAGCCACTGCAGACCCTTCCTGCTGTGATGAGGGGCAAGAGGAAGGACAGAGATATTGAAATTAAACCAAAGCCCTACTGTCTGTTTTTGAGGAGTTTATAGTCTAGTAGTATAAAGAGAAATGTACATGTGAAATGACATGGGGACAATTTACTCGTGAGTCCCCAAAAGGACAAAAAGCAGTTACCTTAACTGGCCATCAGGCAAATGAATGTTCCACTTCTGTTTTCCCGATCCTTTCCACTTTTCACAGTGATTTTTTCTTTTCTTTTCTTTTTTTTCTTTTTTCTTTTTTCTTTTTTTTTTGAGACAGAGTCTCGCTCTGTCACCAGGCTGGAGTGCAGTGGCGCGATCCCGGCTCACTGAAACTTCCATTTTCCATTTTCTTTTTCTTTTCTTTTCGTTTCTTTTTTTTTTTTTTTTCGAGACAGAGTTTCGCTCTTGTTGCCCAGGCTGGAGTGCAATGGCGCGATCTCGGCTCACCGCAACCTCCGCCTCCTGGGTTCGGGCAATTCTCCTGCCTCAGCCTCCTGAGTAGCTGGGATTACAGGCACGCGCCACCATGCCCAGCTAACGTTTGTATTTTTTTTAGTAGAGACGGGGTTTCACCATGTTGACCAGGATGGTCTCGATCTCTTGACCTCGTGATCCGCCCGCCTCAGCCTCCCAAAGTGCTGGGATTACAGGCTTGAGCCACCGCGCCCGGCCTTCTTTTTTTTTTTTTTTTTTTTTTTTTTTTTTTTTTGAGACGGAGTTTCGCTCTTATTACCCAGGCTGGAGTGCAATGACGCGATCTCGGCTCACCGCAACCTCCGCCTCCTGGGTTCAAGCAATTCTCCTGCCTCAGCCTCCTGAGTAGCTGGGATTACAGGCAAGTGCCACCATGCCCAGCTAATTTTTTGTATTTTTAGTAGAGACGGGGTTTCACCATGTTGACCAGGATGGTCTCGATCTCTCGACCTCGTGATCCACCCGCCTCGGCCTCCCAAAGTGCTGGGATTACAGGCTTGAGCCACCGCGCCCGGCCGGCCTTCTTTTTTTTTATGATAGAGTTTCACCATGATGGCCAGGCTGGTCTTGAACTCCTGACCTCAGGTGATCCACCCTCCTCAGCCTCCCAGAGTGCTAGGATTACAGGTGTGAGCCACCGCGCCGGGCCAAGACTCTGCCAAGCTGGACCCTGCTTAACTTCTGGGGCCCTGCCCACAGGCTTTCTTATTGCAGCCCTGGACCTCTATATGGGGCGTTTTCCGGTTTCAAGCCATTCTCCGGCCTCAGCCTCCTGAGTGGCTGGGACTACAGGCATGCACCACCACGCCCGGCTAATTTTTTGTACTTTTAGTAGAGACGGGGTTTCACCATGTTGGCCAAGATGGTCTCAATCTCTTGACCTCGTGATCCACCCGCCTCGGCCTCCCAAAGTGCTGGGATTACAGGCTTGAGCCACCGCGCCCGGCCCACAGTGGTTTTTCTAAAGTACCAGCCATGGACTCAGGCGTTATTTTCCCTAACACGTTTATTTATCTACCATCTGATTTCTCCTAGGCCCTTGGTTTAGAAATCAGGGCTGATATTCAAGGCTGCCTATCATCAGCAATGAATGAACGGGGCTTGCCTAGTAGACAGCCTTCTCTAATGTGGTCCTCCTGCCCCCTCCTCATATTACCATGGAAACTGGTGACCCAATGTGGGTATGGGATGAGGATGTTAACACCAAGCTCCATGCTGCTTCCCTTTGTGGCCATTTGCAGCATGGTGCTAATGAAGACGCTGTGGACGCAGAAAACCGTAGTCCATTGCACTGGGCAGGTGTGTGCAGGGGACTCCTGGGGACAGGGATGCAGGGACTGCAGGGTGGGAAACGGGAGGTGCGGGGTGGGGGGCGCGCAGCCAGGGCCAACCACTGAAATGGTCGGAGGGGATCTGGGTCGTAGTCTCAGGGGGCTTTCTTCATGCTTCCCCCCAACCTGATCTTCTCCTCCCCAGCCTCCTCTGGCTGTGCCTCAAGTGTGCTCCTGCTGTGTGACCACGAAGCCTTCCTGGACGTGTTGGATAACGTGAGTGTGAGATGGGCAGCTCGGCAGTGTCCTGTGTAGGACAGGCAGGCTACTGCTCTCTCTGAGCTTGATTGGCCGGATTCCAGGACCCAGGGTTGTGTTAGCACCCCCCCCCCCCGTCTCTTCCTCTTCCTCCTGCTTCTCCTCCTCTTCCTCACAGAGACATTAAGCCGTACCTTCTGGAGAGCTTCCAACCCTCCAAAAGGGAGTGTTTAGACCTGAGATCTGGGCTTTTATTTGTTCTGAAGAGGTGTGAGGTGGGGGAGCTGTTAGGATCATGTCAAGCCTCTGGCTCTCCCTGGCTCCTCATGAACCCTTCCTACGATCTGTGCAGGATGGACGTACACCCCTGATGATCGCGTCGCTGGGTGGGCACACCGCTATCTGCTCACAGCTGCTGCAGAGAGGAGCCCGAGTTAACGTTACAGACAAGGATGACAAGTGAGCCCTCCTCGGCTACCCACCCCAATTTCCAGGCCTGATCCATTTAGAAAGAAGCCAATGTGCAATGTATGCGTGTGTGTGCGTGCGTGCGTGTGTGTGTGTGTGTCTGTGTGTGTGTGTGTGTGTGTGTTGGGGAAAAAGACAGCTTGGGCTTTACGTTCTTGGGAATGCCATTCCTTCCCAGCGGAGGTTCTGAAAAGCTCTGCCTGCTACCATCACCGCCTTCCTGGCATAGATAACCCCAGAAGTAGAATCAATACTTCTGGACCCATTGGCTGAATTTACTGGTTTTCAGACTATCTTTTAAGAAAGAGGATCCTTTTTTATAATTAAAAATGTATGTAGAATATTGATATATAAAGAAGATAAAAATGGATCTCAGCCTGGCGCAGTGGCTCACGCCTATAATCCCAGCACTTTGGGAGGCTGAGGCTCACACCTATAATCCCAGCCCTTTGGGAGGATCACCTGAGGTCAGGAGTTCAAGACCAGCCTGGTCAACACGGTGAAATCTCATCTCTACTAAAAATACAAAAATTAGCTGGGCATGGTAGCAGGCACTTGTAATCCTAGCTACTTGGGAGGCTGAGGCAGGAGAATCACTTGAACTCAGGAGATAGAGGTTGCAGTGAGCCGAGATCAAACCATTGTACTCCAGGCTGGTGGACAAGAGCGTGGCTGAGTCTTTTTTTATTTTTCTCATTGTTCAATAGCCACCTATGAGTGAGAGCATGCGGTGTTTGATTTTCTGTTCTTGTGTCAGTTTGCTGAGAATGATGGTTTCCAGGTTCATCCATGTCCCTACAAAGGACACGAACGCATCGTTTTTGATGGCTGCATAATATTCCACGGTGTATTCCACATTTTCCCTGTCCAGTCTGTCATCGATAGAATTTGGGTTGATTTCAGATCTTTGCTATTGTAAACAGTGCTGCAACGAACATTCGTGTGCATGTGTCCTTATAGTAGAACGATTTATAATCCTTTGGATATATACCCAGTCATGGGATTGCTGGGTCAAATGGAATTTCTATTTCTAGGTTCTTGAGGAATCGCCACACTGTCTTTCACAATGGTTGAACTGATTTACACTCCCACCAACAATGTAAAAGTGTTTCTATTTCTCCACGTCCTCTGCAGCATCTGTTGTCTCCAGATATTTTAATGATCGCCATTCTAACTGGCGTGAGATGGTATCTTGATGTCGTTTTGATTTGCATTTCTCTGATGACCAGTGATGATGAGCATTTTTTCATATGTTTGTTGGCCTCATGTATGTCTTCTTTTGAAAAGTGTCTGTAGCCGGGCGCGGTGGCTCACGCCTGTAATCCCAGCACTTTGGGAGGCCGAGGCGGGTGGATCACAAGGTCAAGAGATCGAGACCATCCTGGTCAACATGGTGAAACCCCGTCTCTACTAAAAATACAAAAAAAAAAATGAGCTGGGCGTGGTGGCGCGTGCCTGTAATCCCAGCTACTCAGGAGGCTGAGGCAGGAGAATTGCCTGAACCCAGGAGGCGGAGGTTGCGGTGAGCCGAGATCGCGCCATTGCACTCCAGCCTGGGTAACGAGAGCGAAACTCCGTCTCAAAAAAAAAAAAAAAAAAAAAAAAAAGAAAAGTGTTTGTTCATATCCTTCGCCACTTTTGAATGGGCTTGTTTGTTTTTTTCTGAGTCTTAAAAGAAAAAAATGGAGCTCACCCGGTTGACCTCCTGATTTCTGTTACTGCACTTCTAAGGAACAGCATTTGAAAAGTCTAGTCCGGTCTAGTGTTGGTCTGTTGTTCTCGTGACCCCACTGAGTGAGAGCTCACACTGTGAGTGGAGTGTCGGGAACCAGGACTTCTGGATTCCATGGGGAAAGTCTGTGCTCAGATTTGTCTCAACCCACAGATCGGCTTTGATCCTGGCCTGTGAGAAAGGCAGTGCCGAGGTGGCCGAACTGCTGCTGAGCCACGGAGCAGACGCGGGGGCTGTGGACAGCACGGGGCATGACGCTTTGCACTATGCTCTGCGCGCACAAGACAAGTCACTGCAGAGGCTGCTGCAGCAGGCCCTGAACCGGCGGCGGGGCGGTAAGGGCCCCTTTGTAACCTCCAGATTCTCCTTGACAGCCATAGAATCAGAGACGTTTCTTAGAGTCCCATTCGTTTCCATGGAAGTAATCTATCTGACAAATAATTGTCACCTGCGTTGAGAGTTTACCTATTTATTGCTGCTACTGTGAGAGGGCCTCAAATCCCCATCCCAAAAGTATGATCGCAAAATTCTTTAATGCAGCCTGATCTCTCACTGAGGACAACTCCAGCTAGTGTTGTTTCTGGTATTTGAGTTGTCATTGTACATCTATTTGTGTGATTTAGGTGACCGGCCATTTCTGTTTTCCTCACCATTGAAGTTCCAGTGCTTATTAATGTGCCAGACACGGTGACCAACAAATAAATGAGTGAGGCCGGGTGTGGTGGCTCACGCCTATAATCCAAGCGCTTTGGAGGCCAAGGTGGGTGGATCACCTGAGGTCGGGAGTTCAAGACCAGCCTGACCAACATGGTGAAACCCTGTCTTTAAAACATAAAAATAAGCTGGGCAAGGTGGCACGCGCCTGTAATCCCAGCTACTCAGGAGGCTGAGGCAAGAGAATTGCTTGAACCTGGGAGGCGGCGGTTGCAGTGAGCCGAGATTGCGCCATTGCACTCCAGCCTTGGTGACAGAGTGAGACTCCGTCTCAAAAAAAAAAAATAAATAAATAAACAAACAAAATGAACGAGGTGGCCCATTTCTGGGACAGAAAACCAAAGTTACTGGATAGTTAGGGATCCACTAGACAAGATTGGCCTCTGGCACCAGGAAGATATGTCGTGAGATTGGTCACAGAGAGGCCACCCCTCTCAGAAAAAGTCTGAAGATAAGAATGTGGGCTAGAAGCACGTGGAACCTGTCTTCTCTCTCATTTTTCTCATATCTTTTCTTATAGGTCAGGGGCTAGTCCAGCACCCAGATCTTGCATCCCAGGTAAGACTCTGAGTGCCTCCCACTTTTGCTTTGGACACACCGCAGGCTATCCCACTGTGACTATTCCCAGTGGTCCTTCAGGTGGCAAGACATTTAAGAGAAGAAAGGCACTCCTGGGGCTGCCTAGTGGCCACACTTCTTTATATTTACTATTGTTTTCTTTTTTCTTTTTTTTTTTTTTGAGACGTCGCCAGGCTGGAGTGCACTGGCACGATCTCAGCTCACTGCAACCTCCACTTCCGGGGTTCAAGTGATTCTCCTGCCTCAGCCTACTGAGTAGCTCGGACTACAGGTGTGCACTGCCACGCCCAGCTAATTTTTGGTATTTTTAGTAGAGACAGGGTATTACCATGTTGGCCAGGTTGGTCTTGATCTCTTGACCTCTTGATCCGCCCACCTCGGCCTCCCAAAGTGCTGGGATTACAGGCGTGAATCCCCGTGCCTGGCCTTACTCTTCTGTGTTTTCAACATAGGCCTCTCCATCGGAGCCCCAGGCAGGCTCTTCACCTAAGACCCCATGGAGAGCAGAGCCTGAGGAGGAGCAAGAGGAAGAGGAGGATGAAGACCCGTGCTCGGAGGAGTGGAGGTGGAAGTTTGAAGAGGAGCACAGGAAAGTTTCTCAGTTGGAGCAGGAGCTGGTACAAAAGACAGAAGAGTGGAAGGCTCAAGCTGCAGCCTACCTGGACCTTGAGACCCAGATTCAAGAGCAGGCGCGGGAGCTAGGGCTCCTCCTGTCCCGGGAACCCAGAGCTTCAGGAGGGCAAGGCTCTAGGCTCCGGCCTGGAGGGGATGGCATGGGGCAGGGTCGTCCTCTGGACCTGCTGGCTGAGCGTATACAAGAGCTAAAGAAGCAACGTCAGGCAGCAGGCACAGTAAATTCAGTATTAGCTCCCAAGAAGGCTGAGGACTCAGCCCCAGGAGAGATCCAGTGTGCAGTCCATGGAAGGTCCCAGCCAGAAGAACAGGAGCTACCCCAGAGCCCAGGGTCTGAGACCATCAGGAAAGCCACAAGACAGCAATTGACTAAAGATGGCGGACAGACCCTTGGCCCTGATCATGCCGACCAGATGCCTGCTGGCCAGAAGGAGAGGCCCCGGGTTCCAGGAGTTGAACCAGGAGGCACAGTGGCTGAACCAGCGGGCCCAGCAGCCATGACCCAGCTTGTGCTCCAGCTAAGGGAGGAGCTTGCTGCGGTGTGGCGAGAAAAGGATGCTGCCCGGGCGGCTTTATCAAGACCAGTCATGGAGGGAGCCCTGGGGACTCCCCGTGCTGAGGCCGCGGCAGCTGCCTGGGAGAAGATGGAGGCCCGACTGGAGCGAGTGCTGGCGAGACTGGACCGGGCAAAGGCAGGACTGCAGGTGAAGCCTGAGGTTCCTGCCCAGGAGTCCAGAGAGCGAGCACCAAAGGCAGCCCCAGGGAGCATCAAAGAGGATGAAGAGAAGGAGAAAAGCGTTCCTGGGGCTCGGGGAGATTCTCTGGGGGCCCCTGGAGGGGAACAGGCCCTAGGAGGCCTGGCAAAGGGACAGCTGGAGAAGGAGGTGTCAGCGCTGAGACTGAGCAACAGTCACTTACTGGAGGAGTTAGGCGAGTTGGGGCGGGAGCGGCAGAGGTTGCAGAGGGAGCTGCAGTCCCTGAGCCAGCGGCTGCAGCGGGAGTTTGTGCCCAGGCCAGAGGCGCAGGTCCAGCTGCAGCAGTTGCAGCAGAGTGTGGGGCTGCTGACAGATGAGCTGGCCGTGGAGAAGGAGGCCACAGAGGAGCTGCGGAGGCGCCTGGCCTCCCAGAGCAGCAGCCTCCGAGGGCTGTGGGACTGCCTGCCCGCCGACCTCGCGGGCAAGAGGAGCGCAGCGCGGAGCGAAGTCGCGGAGCCCCCGGAGGAGCTGCGGGCCTGCATCAGCACCCTGGCGGACCGGCACCGGGAGGCCCAGCACGTGCTGGCTCAGCTGCGAGAGGAAAACCGGCAGCTGCGGGGCTCCCTGTCCCCGGGTGGGGAGCCAGGCACGTCCTTCAAGGTCCCAGCATCCCCGCAAGTGGCGGCGCTGGAGCAAGACCTGGGGAAGCTGGAGGCAGAGCTGCGGGCGGTTCAGGCCACGATGAGCGGGAAGAGCCAGGAGATCGCGAAGCTCAAGCAGCTGCTCTACCAAGCCACGGAGGAGGTGGCGGAGCTGCGGGCCCGGGAGGCGGCCAGCCTGCGGCAGCACGAGAAGACGCGGGGCTCGCTGGTGGCCCAGGCCCAGGCTTGGGGCCGGGAGCTCAAGGCGCTGCTGGAGAAGTACAACGCGGCCTGCCGGGAGCTGGCTCGGCTGCGGGAGGCGGTGGCCGAGGAGCGGCGCCGCGGCGGGGACCTGGCAGCTCGGGCCGCGGAGCACGAGCGCCAGGCCAGCGAGATGCGGGGGCGCTCCGAGCAGTTTCAGAAAACGGCGGAGCTGCTGAAGGAGAAGATGGAGCGTCTCGTTGGGGCTTGCCGGGACAAGGAGGCCAAGGTGAGCAGCCGAGGCGGCCCTGGGAGCACTCGGGAAAGTTTCGGGGTGTTTGGGAGTTGGCGAACCGGAATCCAGAAACCTCTGTGGCAGCAGCGGGTCAGATGAGTCGTCCAAACGGAGCACCGGTCCTCTGCGGGGACCAGGCCAGTGTGTTCTCCTGGGCCTGAGGGGGTTGGGGTTGAGTTGGAGGCGAGGTCAGGTGGAAGTGGACGAGAGAAGGGGGCTGAGGTCATGAAATTTGGCACCCAGATTCAGAAGCAGTGTGCTCGGGGCTGCCGCCAGCGCAGCACCATCGTTTGTCAGCCTTTGGACTTAAATTGCATGTTAGCCGGGCTGGGCGCGGTGGCTTACGCCTGTAATCCCAGCACTTTGGGAGGCCGAGGCGGGTGGATCACGAGGTCGAGAGATCGAGACCATCCTGGTCAACATGGTGAAACCCCGTCTCTACTAAAAATACAAAAAAAAATTAGCTGGGCATGGTGGCGTGTGCCTGTAATCCCAGCTACTCAGGAGGCTGAGGCAGGAGAATTGCCTGAACCCAGGAGGCGGAGGTTGCGGTGAGCCGAGATCGCGCCATTGCACTCCAGCCTGGGTAACAAGAGCGAAACTCCGTCTCAAAAAAAAAAAAAAAAAAAAAAAAAAAAAAAAATTGCATGTTAGCCGGCTGGGCATGGTGGCTCAGGCCTGTAATCCAAGCATTTTGGAGGCCAAGGCGGACCTGAGGTCGGGAGTTCAAGACCAGGCTGACCAACATGGTGAAACCTAGTCTTAAAAAAAAAAAAAAAAAAAAAAAAGCCTATTAGCCTAGGAAGAGGCCTAATAGCATGATGGGTTGCTGATTTTACTGAGGTTCTGAGGAGGTGACTCAGGAACTAATGGGTTAAGAAAAGTAGACTCAGTGATAGCGGCTCTTCTCCCCTCCACTTCAAAGTGGGTTCTACAGAAAGATGTCCATTGGCAAAAAGGGCACCAATGCAAAGAAAAAGAAGCTTGAGGCTGGGCGCGGTGGCTCACGCCTGTAATCCCAGCGCTTTGGGAGGCCGAGGCAGGCGGATCACGAGGTCAAGAAATCGAGACCAGCCTGGCCAACATGGTGAAACCCCGTCTCTACTAAAAATACAAACATTAGCGGGGCATGGTGGTGAGTGCCTGTAATCCCATACTCAGGAGGCTGAGGCAGGAGAATCGCTTGAACCTGGGAGGTGGAGGTTGCAGTGAGCTGAGATCGCACCATTGCACTGCAGCCTGGGTGGCAGAGCAAGACTCTGTCTCCGGAAAAACAAACAAACAAACAAACAAACAAACAAACAAAAAAACCCTGCTATTAGATACCAGAGTTTCCTAATGCTTGCTCTAAACCTGAGTCTACATGTTTCTTTTTTTTTCTTTTCCTTTTTTCAGGCCCATACTGGCTAAGAGTCTACATGTTTCTATGAGTCATGTTTTATGAACTCTAAATATCAACTTACAAATGGATTTAGTAATTCTAGACTTACCCATGAAATGAATGAGTTCAGACTTCTTATTAAAACTTGGATACTACTGGGTGCGGTGGCTCAAGCCTGTAATCCCAGCACTTTGGGAGGCTGAGGCGGGTGGATCACGAGGTCAAGAGATCAAGACCATCCTGGTCAACATGGTGAAACCCCGTCTCTACTAAAAATACAAAAAAATTAGCTGGGCATGGTGGCGCGTGCCTGTAATCCCAGCTACTCAGGAGGCTGAGGCAGGAGAATTGCTTGAACCCAGGAGGCGGAGGTTGTGGTGAGCCGAGATCGCGCCATTGCACCCCAGCCTGGGTAACAAGAGCGAAACTCTGTCTCAAAAAAAAAAAAAAAAAAAAAAACACACACACACACACACACACACACACACACAAACTTGGATACATTGGATACATGATCAAATTTAGGTTGGATCAAAAAATATAAAGTGGCCGGGCGCGGTGGCTCAAGCCTGTAATCCCAGCACTTTGGGAGGCCGAGGCGGGTGGATCACGAGGTCGAGAGGTCGAGACCATCCTGGTCAACATGGTGAAACCCCGTCTCTACTAAAAATACTAAAAATTAGCTGGGCATGGTGGCGTGTGCCTGTAATCCCAGCTACTCAGGAGGCTGAGGCAGGAGAATTGCCTGAACCCAGGAGGCGGAGGTTGCGGTGAGCCGAGATCGCGCCATTGCACTCCAGCCTGGGTAACAAGAGCGAAACCCCGTCTCAAAAAAAAAAAAAAAAAAAAAAATTGCATGTTAGCCGGCTGGGCATGGTGGCTCAGGCCTGTAATCCAAGCATTTTGGAGGCCAAGGCAGACCTGAGGTCGGGAGTTCAAGACCAGGCTGACCAACATGGTGAAATCCAGTCTTAAAAAAAAAAAAAAATGCATATTAGCCTAGGAAGAGGCCTAATAGCATGATGGGTTGCTGATTTTACTGAGGTTCTGAGGAGGTGACTCAGGAACTAATGGGTTAAGAAAAGTAGACTCAGTGATAGCGGCTCTTCTCCCCTCCACTTCAGAGTGGGTTCTACAGAAAGATGTCCATTGGCAAAAAGGGAACCAATGCAAAGAAAAAGAAGCTTGAGGCTGGGCGCGGTGGCTCACGCCTGTAATCCCAGCGCTTTGGGAGGCCGAGGCAGGCGGATCACGAGGTCAAGAAATCGAGACCAGCCTGGCCAACACGGTGAAACCCCGTCTCTACTAAAAATACAAACATTAGCGGGGCATGGTGGTGAGTGCCTGTAATCCCATACTCAGGAGGCTGAGGCAGGAGAATCGCTTGAACCTGGGAGGTGGAGGTTGCAGTGAGCTGAGATCGCACCATTGCACTGCAGCCTGGGTGACAGAGCAAGACTCTGTCTCCGGAAAAACAAACAAACAAACAAACAAAAAAACCTGCTATTAGATACCAGAGTTTCCTAATGCTTGCTCTAAACGTGAGTCTACATGTTTCTTTTTTTTTTCTTTTCCTTTTTTCAGGCCCATACTGGCTAAGAGTCTACATGTTTCTATGAGACATGTTTGATGAACTCTAAATATCAACTTACAAATGGATTTAGTAATTCTAGACTTACCCATGAAATGAATGAGTTCAGACTTCTTATTAAAACTTGGATACTACTGGGTGCGGTGGCTCAAGCCTGTAATCCCAGCACTTTGGGAGGCTGAGGCGGGTGGATCACGAGGTCAAGAGATCAAGACCATCCTGGTCAACATGGTGAAACCCCGTCTCTACTAAAAATACAAAAAAATTAGCTGGGCGTGGTGGTGCGTGCCTGTAATCCCAGCTACTCAGGAGGCTGAGGCAGGAGAATTGCTTGAACCCAGGAGGCGGAGGTTGCGGTGAGCCGAGATCGCGCCATTGCACCGCAGCCTGGGTAACGAGAGCGAAACTCCGTCTCAAAACACACACACACACACACACACACACACACACAAACTTGGATACATTGGATACATGATCAAATTTAGGTTGGATCAAAAAATATAAAGTGGCCGGGCGCGGTGGCTCAAGCCTGGCTCAAGCCTGTAATCCCAGCACTTTGGGAGGCCGAGGTGGGTGGATCACGAGGTCAAGAGATCGAGACCATCCTGGTCTACATGGTGAAACCCCGTCTCTACTAAAAATACAAAAATTAGCTGGGCATGGTGGTGTGTGCCTGTAATCACAGCTACTCAGGAGGCTGAGGCAGGAGAATTGCCTGAACCCAGTAGGCGGAGGTTGCGGTGAGCCGAGATCGCGCCATTGCGCTCCAGCCTGGGTAACAAGAGCGAAACTCCGTCCCAAAAAATAAAAAAAATAAAAAAAATAAGAAATGATATTTATTTAAAAGATCTGGGGCCGGGCGTGGTGGCTCACGCCTGTAATCCAAGCACTTTGGAGGCCAAGGCGGGCAGATCACCTGAGGTCGGGAGTTCAAGACCAGCCTGACCAACATGGTGAAACCCCGTCTTTAAAAAAAAAAAGATTTGGAACACTTGGCCCATGGTAAGTACTCAGTAAAAGCTAGCTATTGTTATTCCTACTACCACTATTCCCATTACTGCTAGTTACCGTTAACTGCGTTCGTGCCTCTGCCTCAATAAGCCGTAAGGCCTCATCTCCGTGTCCCTTAGTGGTCAGCAGCCAGAAGTACTTTAGGGTCCGCACTCAGGTAAGAGCATGCACCAAGGAGTGAAAGGGATTACGGTTCAAATCATGATTTCATCACTTTTCAGCTGTGTGATTTTGACAAACTACTTAATTCAGTCTCTTTATCTACAAAATGTGATAATACTTCCCTCAGGCGGAGCATGGTGGCTCCTGCCTGTAATCCCAGCACTTTGGGAGGCCAAGGTGGATGGATTGCTTGAGCTCAGGAGTTTGAGACCAGCCTGGGCAACATGGCGAAACCCCAACGATACCAAAAAAAAAAAAAAAAAAAAAAAAAAAAAAAAAAAAAATTAGCTGAGTGTGGTGACCCGTGCCTGTGTCTATGCTACTCAGGAGGTAGAGGTTGCAGTGAGCTGAGATTATGCCACTACACTCCAGCCTGGGGGACAGAGTGAGACCTTGCCTCCAAAAACAAAACAGCCAGGGCACGGTGGCTCACGCCTATAATCCCAACACTTTGGGAGGCTGAGGTGAGCAGATCACCTGAGGTCAGGAGTTCGAAACCAGGCTGGCCAACATAGTGAAACCCCGTCTCTACTAAAAATACAAAAACTTAGCCAGGTGTGGTGGCGCGTGCCTGTAATCCCAACTACCCGGGAGGCTGAGGCAGGAGAATGGCTTGAACCCGGGAGGCGGAGGTTGCGGTGAGCAGAGATGGCGCCGTTGCACTCCAGCCTGGGTGACACAGCAAGACTCAGTCCAAAAACAAAAACAAAAACAAAAAACAAAAAAACTAGGCCTGGCGCGGTGGTTCACACCTGTAATCCTAGCATTTTGGATTTTGGGAGGCCGAGGTGGGTGGATCACCTGAGGTCAGGAGTTCAAGACCAGCCTGGCCATCAGGGTGAAACCCCATCTTTTTAAAAAACACCTTCCTTCAAAGAAGTATTGTTCTTCTTAGAGGAAAAGCTCTTTTCAATGTTTTTTTTTTGTTGTTTTTTTTGTTTTTTTTTTTGTTGTTTTTTTTTTTTGAGACGGAGTTTCGCTCTCGTTACCCAGGCTGGAGTGCAATGGCACAATCTCGGCTCACCACAACCTCCGCCTCCCGGGTTCAGGCAATTCTCCTGCCTCAGCCTCCTGAGTAGCTGGGATTACAAGCACGCGCCACCATGCCCAGCTGATTTTTTATATTTTTAGTAGAGACGGGGTTTCACCATGTGGACCAGGATGGTCTCGATCTCTCGACCTCGTGATCCACCCACCTCGGCCTCCCAAAGTGCTGGGATTACAGACTTGAGCCACTGCGCCCCGCCCCTTTTCAATGTTAAATGAAACAATTTGTATAAAATTGGCACACGTTAAATACTCAGTAAGAGGAAGCCGACCTTGACCCTGGGTGGTGTTTGTGGGAGAAATGACTTGAGCCTCACTGGTCGCCTCTGTGCTCTTGGCCTCAGATCAAGGAGTTGTTGAAGAAGCTGGAGCAGCTTTCGGAAGAGGTTCTAGCAGTTCGGGGAGAAAATGCTCGCCTTGCCCTGCAGCTGCAGGTATGTTTTGGCGGTCAGGGAAATGGACCCTGCTGGAGAAGAAGGTGGACGGTGGAAGTGACGTATGTGTGGGAGACATTTTAGGAATTACAGAGGCCTGGCTAGGCAGTGATCCAGGATGGGCCATGGTGGGCTGAGGAGCCCACCGGGTACTGCCGGCCACTTCGGTGTGTTACGCCTCGTGCTTGGGTGAGGGTGGACACGTGACTTCCTATTGATGTTCGTTTTCAGGATTCCCAGAAGAACCATGAAGAGATCATCTCCACCTACAGGAATCACCTACTGAATGCTGCTCAGGTGAGCATGGTGGAATTTTGAGAGAGGTAGAGACGGAAAGCTGGGTGTAGGGTATTGCATTTAGGGCCCCTCTCTCTTCTCCAGGCTCCCTGTACATATTTGCCATTTCTCAGAAAGCTGCATCCAGTGCCAGGGCTCTGATCTCACTTGGTAGAGTGAGATCGAGAGATGTGGAGTATGAATGTGAAGAGAAGAGGCGTTTGCCCCTCCGTTTCAATTCCCTGGTCCATTGTAAGGACTTTGTCCTATCCCCTGTACCGTTTCTCAGTTTCCTCCTGGAGCCACTTAGTCCTAAACAAGGAAAAAGAGGTGGAGGTCTTGCTCCCTTCTTAGGAAAAGTAGACATCAGCGAGGCAGGCGGATCACCTGAGGTCGGGAGTTCGAGACCAGCCTGACCCATATGGAGAAACCCCATCTCTACTAAAAACACAAAATTAGCCAGGCGTGGTGGTGCGTGTCTGTAGTCCCAGCTACTTGGGAGGCTGAGGCAGGAGAATCGCTTGAACCCGGGAGGCGGAGGTTGAGCTGAGCCAAGTTTGCGCCATTGCACTCCAGCCTGGGCAACAAGAGTGAAACTCCATCTCAAAAATAAATAAATAAATAAATACATGTATACATCATTCTCTTCCGTGTGAAGCTAGGGAAACAGCCATGAAGAAGTTAAATACTGTAAGTGAAGTTCATAGTAAACAGCCTTCCACTGTACCACAGAACCTCCCCTCCCCTCTCTCCATTTTCTATTCTTCATCCCCTGTTCTTCCTTTGCTGCTGTCAACAGGGCTGCATGGAACAGGACGTGTACAGTATCCTGCTGCGAATCCTTAGCATGCAAGAGGAGTGAGGCGGCCTCACCGGGAGCCCTCAGGGATACAAGAGCCTCTGTTGTGAGTTGTGGGTTAACGGTGATGAGGGAAGGAGAAAGGGCCTGGGAAAGGAGGCGTATGGAATGAAATTAGTCCCTTTTGCCCCTGTGGTGGCTGGCGGTGGGGAGCCTTTTGGGTAATCGGGCATTTAGGTGATTGAGAAGACAGAACATGGAGAATCACTGGGTGGGGTCAGGAGTCAGCGAGCAGGTGGAGTAAGGGGCTGACTTGTGAGATGGAGACTGGAGACAGGGGTTGGGTCTGGGGTGGGAAAATGCCAGGGAAAGACGAGTGATGAGAGGATAGTTCCTTAGGGCAGGACTCTACAAAATCCAGAATCTCGTCACTTTCTTTTTTTTTTTTTTTTGTGAGACGGAGTTTCACTCTTGTTACCCAGGCTGGAGTGCAATGGCGCCATCTCGGCTCACCGCAACCTCCGCCTCCTGGGTTCAGGCGATTCTCCTGCCTCAGCCTCCTGAGTAGCTGGGATTACAGGCACGTGCCACCATGCCCAGCTAATTTTTTTGTATTTTTAGTAGAGACGGGGTTTCACCATGTTGACCGGGATGGTCTCGATCTCTTGACCTTGTGATCCACCCGCCTTGGCCTCCCAAAGTGCTGGGATTACAGGCGTGAGCCACTGCGCCCAGCCAATCTCGTCACTTTCATAGCATTCCTTCAAAGAGCAGACAAGCCCCAAACCTCTCCCCATCCCAATGCAGGTAGCCCCCTTCCCCTGTCCAGATAGATGAGGTCCCTTTTAGCATGTTGACCTGAGTGGGAGGAGACTGAGGACATGGAAGCGTGTGCATTTCATCCTTGAATTTCTTCTTTCAGGGAATAAGAGCCCCCGGTTGACAGACGCTCCCTCAGGCTGTGGTGGGGGGTGTTGGCCACTGGAGAATGGTAAGGGCAGGGCTTCACCTGACATTACGAACCTCAGACCTGAGAGCGTGGACCTTGGAATCAGCATGGATGAGACCAGAGGAGGTGTGGATGGAAGCAGGCTCTATGGAAAATAAAGCATGAGGCAGGACGGGGCTGAGTGTCATTTTTTTCCTTTCTAAAGGGGAGTGGGGAAAGGAATATTTTTTATCCTTTTATTCTTTTGTTTTCCTGGAAAAAATATTAACAATATGTTTTTATTCTTTTTTTTTTTTTTTTGAGACGGAGTTTCGCTCTTGCTACCCAGGCTGGAGTGCAATGGCGCGATCTCGGCTCACCGCAACCTCCGCCTCCTGGGTTCAGGCAATTCTCCTGCCTCAGCCTCCTGAGTAGCTGGGATTACAGGCACGTGCCACCATGCCCGGCTAATGTTTTGTATTTTTAGTAGAGACGGGGTTTCACCATGTTGACCAGGATGGTCTTGATCTCTTGACCTCGTGATCCACCTGCCTCGGCCTCCCAAAGTGCTGGGATTACAGGCATGGGCCACCACGCCTGGCCTTATGTCTTTATTCTTAAAAACATTTTTTTACAAGTAGATTTTTTTTTTTTTTTTTTTGAGGCAGAGTCTCACTGTGTTGCCCAGGCTGGAGTGCAGTGTGGCATGATCTCAGCTCACTTCAACCTCTGCGTCCTGGCCCTGAGGGATTCTTGTGCCTCAGCATCCCAAGTAGCTGGGATTACAGGCATGTGCCACCACGCTGGGGTATACAAGCAGATTTTATTTTACAAATAGACTTTGTTTTTTAGAGCAGTTTTAGGTCCACAATAAAATTGAGCATAAGGTACAGAGATTTTCATACATCCTGTGCCCCCACATAGGCACTGCCTCCCCCATCATAAACATCCCTCACCAGATGTATTTGTTATAACTGCGGAACGTACGTTGACACATTATTATCATTCAGAGTTCATAGTTCACATTAAGCTTCACTCTCAGCATTATATAGTCTATTGGCTTGGACACATTTATATTGAAATGTGTCCACTATTATGTTATCTTTTTCGTTTTTGTTTGTTTGTTTGAGGCAGGGTCACTCTTCTGCCCAGGCTGGAGTGCAAGTGGTGTGATCATAGCTCACTGCAGCCTCAACTTCCTGGGCTCTAGTAATTCTCCAACCTCAGCCTTCGAAGTAGCTGGGACTATGGGTGAGCACCACCACACCTGGCTGGTTTTTCTGTATTTTTAATAGAGATCAAGTTTCTCCATGTTGCCCAAGCTGGTCTCAAACTCCTGGGCTCAAGCGATCCACCCACCCGGACTTCCCAAAGTGCTGGGGATTACAGGTCTGAGCCACTGTGCCCAGCCATCTCTGTATTATCATATAGAGTAGTTCCACTGCCCTAAGAATCCTCTGTGCTCTGTCTGCTCATTTCTCCATCCCTGCTAAACCCTGGCAACATCTGATCTTTTTTCTGTCTCCAGTTGAGCATTTTCTAGAATGTCATATAGTTGGAATTACACAGTATGTATCCTTTTCAGATTGGTTTCTTTGACTTAGTAATGTACATTTACATTTCCTCCATATCTTTTCATAGCTTGATAACTCACTTCTTTTTAGTACTGAATAATATTCCATTGTCTGGATGTGTCACAATTTATCCATTCACCTGCTGAAGGACATCTTGTTTCTAAGCTTTGACAATTTTTTTTTTCTTTTGAGACACAGTCTCACTCTATCATCCAGGCTGGAGTGCAGTGGTGCAGTCTCAGCTCACTGCAACCTCCACCTCCTAGGTTCACGCAATTCTCCTGCCTCAGCCTCCCAAGTAGCTGGTATTGCAAGTGTGTGTCACCACACCCAGCTAATTTTTTTTTTTTTTTTTTTTTTTTTTTTTTTTTTTTTTTTGAGACGGAGTTTCGCTCTTGTTACCCAGGCTGGAGTGCAATGGCGCGATCTCGGCTCACCGCAACCTCCGCCTCCTGGGTTCAGGCAATTCTCCTGCCTCAGCCTCCTGAGTAGCTGGGATTACAGGCACGCGCCACCATGCCCAGCTATTTTTTTTTGTATTTTTAGTAGAGACGGGGTTTCACCATGTTGACCAAGATGGTCTCGATCTCTTGGCCTCGTGATCCACCCGCCTCGGCCTCCCAAAGTGCTGGGATTACAGGCTTGAGCCACGGCGCCCGGCCATTTTTTTGTATTTTTAAGAGAGACAGATTTTCACCACTGTGGCCAGGCTGGTCTCAAACTCCTGACCTCAGGTGATCTGCTCTCCTCAGCTTCCCAAAGTGCTGAGATTACCGGCTTGAGCCACCATGACTGAGCTTGGCAATTATCTCATTCATTTTTCAATGAAATTCGCAAATGGCCCTATAAGTCAGCAACTTTTAAACTTTTTGATCCACATAGTAAGAAATTTCAAAAATTGTTTTGAGACAGAGTCTCATGCTGTCACCCAGGCTGGAGTGCAGTGGCGTGATCTCAGGTCACTGCAACTCCCGCCTCCTGGGTTCAAGCTAGTCTCAGGCCTCAGCCTCCTGAGTAGCTGAAATTACAGGCATGCATCACCATGCCCAGCTAATTTTTGTGTTTTTTGAAGACAGAGGGTTTTGCCATGTTGGCCAGGCTGGTCTCAAACTCTTGGCCTCAAGTGATCCTCCTCCCGTGGCCTCCCAAAGTATTGGGATTACAGGTACAAGCCACTGTACCCAGCCAAGAAATACATTTTATATCTTGTGTATACATACCTCAAATAATACATTACTATTTCTCTTCTCTTTTTTTTTTTTTTTGAGACGGAGTTTCGCTCTTGTTACCTAGGCTGGAGTGCAATGGCGCGATCTCGGCTCACCGCAACCTCTGTCTCCTGAGTTCAAGCAATTCTCCTGCCTCAGCCTCCTGAGTAGCTGGGATTACAGGCACGTGCCACCATGCCCAGCTAATTTTTTTGCATTTTTGTTAGAGACGGGGTTTCACCATGTTGACAAGGATGGTCTCGATCTCTTGACCTCGTGATCCAGCCGCCTCGGCCTCCCAAAGTGCTGGGATTACAGGCTTGAGCCACCGCGACCCACCATCTCTTCTTTTCTTTGCTAATCTACTCCATCAAAATGCATGTCCCATGTTTTGAAAAATAGTCCTCAGTGAAAATGGGGTTTGACACTCTTCCTTTCCTCTTTCTCAAACCTGTCACAACTCTAATCTTTTTATCTACCTTGGGACTGCTGGATCCGTGTTTCTTTCTGAGATGGAGTCTCGCTCTGTAGCACAGGCTGGAGTGCAGTGGAGCAGTCTCGGCTCACCGCCACCTCTGCCTCCCAGGTCCTGGTTCAAGCGAGTCTCCTGCCTCAGTCTCCAGAGTAGCTGGGATTACAGGCATGCGCCACCATGCCCAGCTAATTTTTGTGTTTTGAGACAGAATCTCACTCTGTCACCCACGCTGGAGTGCAGTGGCATGATCTCAGCTCACTACAATCTCCATCTCCAGGGTTCAAGCGATTCTCCTGTCTCAGTCTCCTGAGTAGCTGGGACTACATGAGCGCGCCACCATGCCTGGCTAATGTTTTGTATTTTTATTAGAGACAGGTTTCACCATGTTGGCCAGGCTGGTCTTGAACTCCTGACCTTGTGATCCACCTGCCTCAGCCTCCCAAAGTGCTGGGATTACAGGCGTGAGCCACCGCGCCCGGCCTTGATCTTTATTTTTTTGAGACGTCTTCCTCTGTTGCCCAGGCTGAAGCGCAGTGGTGCAATCTCAGCTCACTGCAACCTCTGCCTCCTGGGTTCAAGCGATTCTCCTGCCTCAGCCTCCCAAACATCTGGGACTACAGGCGCACGCCACCACGCTCAGCTAATTTTTTTTTTTTTTTTTTTTTTTTTTTTTTTTGAGACGGAGTTTCGCTCTTGCTACCCAGGCTGGAGTGCAATGGCGCGATCTCGGCTCGCCGCAACCTCTGCCTCCTGGGTTCAGGCAATTCTCCTGCCTCAGTCTCCTGAGCAGCTGGGATGACAGGCACGTGCCACGATGCCCAGCTAATGTTTTTTGTATTTTTAGTAGAGACGGGGTTTCACCATGTTGACCAGGATGGTCTCGATCTCTCGACCTTGTGATCCACCCGCCTCGGCCTCCCAAAGTGCTGGGATTACAGGCTTGAGCCACCGCGCCCGGCTATTTTTTGTATTTTTAGTAGAGACGGGATTTCACTGTGTTAGCCAGGATATTCTCTCTCTCTCTCTCTCTCTCTCTTTTTTTTTTTTTAAATTTTAGGCCAAGAATGAGCAAGAATAGCCAGGATATTCTTGATCTCCTGACCTGGTAATCTGCCCACCTCGGCCTCCCAAAGTGCTGGGATTACAGGCGTGAGCCACCGCACCTGCCCGTCCCCCCAACTTTTTAAGGGGGGATTGAGAGACCTGGATTTTCTTCAAGATGTACTATCTAAAATATTCTATCAAGTGTTAAACAATGTGTCTAGATTTGACATACATGGTCTCTCTGTTTTGTCCCAGGTGACGAGAGGGATGAAAAGTCTGATTCCTGGGTAGAGGATGAAGGGACACCCAAGTGCCATTTTTGCCTGTGATTCCATTCTCAGACTGAAAAATAAATGGATCTCTCTTGGCCACTTGCCCTGGGTCTCCTCCCCTTCCTGCCCTTCCACCAGCCAGAGTGCTAGGTGGAAATGAGGCAGCGAATTCCTCCAAAATCTGGAATTGCAGTTTGGTGGCCTGCACGCCGATCCCTCCCCATTCCTTCTCTCAGTCCACCCTCTGCTGGGTTATGCTGGGTCAGACAGCAGCCGTTTTGGCAGTAAGTAAAGGGACTGGGTTGAGAGAAAAGGGTGGGGAGGGGCTGTCATGAAAGACAGGGGGCTACATAAGGGCTGCAGAAGATGGCTCCAGAGTTCTGTCAGGGTGAAAAAAGAGCATCTGAGCTCTGCAGATCAGATACTAGAGAAGGCGCTGGGCTGCTTTGGGGTTTGTGTGGATGGGCACGGGACTGCTTTAAGGCCAGGAAAAGTGGAGAAAGGAGGGATTGACCGAGAAACGGTGAAGAGGTGCAGCTATCAAAGGAAGACCCTCAAATGGGTCTGAGTCATTTCTGTTAAGGGGAACAGAACCGCTCCTTGCTTTCCTGCTGTCAGTGACCAACGCATATTAAAGGACAATGACATTCCTTGTTATATATGAGGTGTGGGGTGGGAACTGCAGAGAGAAGGGTCCAGAAAAGGGGAGCTCATTGGGCTAAGCTCAAGAATGAGTCAGGAAGGAGCTTTGGTAATGGAAGCCAGGCCTTTGGCTCCCTCCGGGGCTCCTGGAAACTGATCCGAGGATGGGCTGAACGAAGGGAGTGGTGCACGATGTTAATGTTAACACAGGAGTAGAAACTTCCTTAGCCCCTGGTTTTCTCAATCTCCCTCCCTACGACTCCACAAACTATTACCTCAACAATTCCAAGTCTTCTAATTTTTCTTGAGTTCATAGATTTTTTTTCCCTCAAGGTAGCTCTAATCCTAATGTTCCCTTTATTCCTCGGGGACTCTCTGACAGGACATCAGTAGGGACTTATTATTCCCGCTTCAATTTCCCCCCCATTCCCCAGGCTTCCGATGTAGGAGTATGTGGGGGAAAGTGGGTGAAACCTGGTGGGCCATGATTGGGTTCAGACTCCGTGAATGCCTTCAATCTGGAACTTTGCTTCTGATTCAGTTTCCCTCATTTGGTAACATTAATTTATTAAACAGATATTTAAAGAGTCTACTATTTGTCAGGCACTGGGGATAGAGTAGGAGCAGCACAGAGAAGATTCTTATCCTTTCAGAGCTTGTGTGCACAGAAGATTCAGGTGCCCCGGTTCCGTCATCCTATAGGGATGCTAAAACTTACAACCTCAAATTAACTTTTCGCCAATTTATTTTTTCTTCTCTTTCAATAACTTTCATAATCTCAAATTAATTTTTTTTTTTTTTTTTTGAGATGGAGTCTTGCTCTGTCACCCAGGCTGGAGTGCAGTGGTGTGATCTTGGCTCACTGCAACCTCTGCCTCCTGGGTTCAAGGGATTCTTCCACCTCAGCCTCCCACGTAGCTAGGACTATAGTCATGCCCTAGCACGCCCAGCTAATTTTTGTGTTTTTAGTAGAAATGGGTTCTCACCATGTTGACCAGGCTGGTCTTGAACTCCTGACCTCAAGTGATCCGCCCGCCTCGGCCTCCCAAAGTGTTGGGGATTACAGGTGTGAGCCATCACACCTGACCTTCAAATTACCCTGTTTTTTTTTTTCCTTTCGAGATGGAGTTTTGCTCTTGTTGCCCAGGCCGGAGTGTAATGGCACCCACTGCCACCTCTACCTCCCAGGGTCAAGCAATTCTCCCGCCTCAGCCTCTCAAGTAACTGGAATTACAAGTGTGCACCACCACGCCCGGCTAATTTTGTATTTTTAGTAGAGATGGAGTTTCTCCATGTTGGTCAGGCTGGTCTCAAACTCCCAACCTCAGGTGATCTGCCTGCCTTGGCCCTCCGAAGTACTGGGATTATAGGGCATGAGCCAACTCACACAGCCCAAATTAACTTTTTTTTTTTTTTTTTTGAGACGGAGTTTCGCTCTTGTTACCCAGGCTGGAGTGCAATGGCGCGATCTCGGCTCACCGCAACCTCCGCCTCCTGGGTTCAGGCAATTCTCCTGCCTCAGCCTCCTGAGTAGCTGGGATTACAGGCATGCACCACCATGCCCAGCTAATTTTTTGTATTTTTAGTAGAGACGGGGTTTCACCATGTTGACCAGGATGGTCTCGATATCTTGAGCTTGTGATCTGCCCGCCTCGGCCTCCCAAAGTGCTGGGATTACAGGCATGAGCCACCGCACCTGGCCTTGTTTTGTCTTTTTGAGACGGAGTCTCGCTCTCTATGGCCAGGCTGGAGTGCAGTGGCGCGTTCTCGGCTCACTGCAACCTCCGTATCCTCGGATCAAGCGATTCTCCTGCCTCGGCCTCCAGAGTAGCTGGGATTACAGGCACGTGCCACCACGCCCAGCTAATTTTTGTATTTTTGGTAGCGACGGGGTTTCACCGTTTTGGTCAGGATGGTCTTGATCTTCTGACCTCGTGATCCGCCTGCCTCGGCCGCCCAAAGTGTTTGATTACAGGTGTGAGCCACCGCGCCCCACCTGCTTATTGATTATAGGTTTAACTTGTCTTGTCTGTGCTGCTAGACTGTGAATTCCTGCAAGGCTTTTATATCCTCAGCACCTAATGATCCCTGATAAGCACCCAAATGTTTATTGAACAAATGCAGCCAACTATACAATACTGTGAGGTTTTCAGTATACAGTACTGGTTAAGTTGGTATTTTCACGGATCCAGAAACAGATTTTTTTTTTTTTTTTTTTTTTTTTGGAGATGGAGTTTTACTCTTGTTGCCCAGGCTGGAGTGCAATGGCCGGATCTCAGCTCACTGCAACCTCTGCCCTCTGCCTCCTGGGTTCAAAGGATTCTCCTGCCTCAGCCTTCCAAGTAGTTGGGATTACAGGCATGCACCACCACATCCAGCTGATTTCGTAGTTTTAGCAGAGACGGGATTTCCCCAGGTTGGTCAGGCTGGTCTTGAACTCCTGACCTCAGGTGATCCACCTGTCTCAGCCTCCCAAAGTGCTGGGATTACAGGCGTGAGCCACCGCGCCAGGCCCAGAAACATATTTAATCTGGGGTCTGTATATGAGTGATCAGCTTGGTTGGGATGGCGCCTCTGGAGGGTCCAAGGCTTTGGAGGAAGGAGAGTGGGTAGGTAGTTCAGAGAGGGTCAGCAAGATCCCTTTTGTGGGTAAGAAAACCTCCCCTCTATTCATCTTCAGCTACACCAAAGGTGTGGGGGCTCTGGTGGAGGTATTGTGCATGTGTTTCTGGAGTAGTTACTGCTAGGTACGCTTTGGATTCAGTGGCCCAGGCTTTGCCCTAGGAAGGGACAGTTGTCTTTTCAAGGAAGACTGCTTTATACGGTCAGGGACCCGGTTCACAGCGCCTTAGCAGCAGCGTCCCCCCACCCCGATCCCATACACTAGTGTGAGGGGTCACAGAGGGAGTGAGAATGATGGGATCCAAGAATCTTTTCTCCAGATCCGCTCACACCAGGAGTTAATCGCTCCAGCGCCGGGCTCCGAGTCCCTCCCTCTCTCGCCCGAGCTCCGCCCCGCTCCCCTCTCCGCGGTCCTGGCGGGCTTCCCCGGGAGGGGGCGGCCCCAGCCCGAGTGCGAGGCCGGGCGGAGCTCCGGCCCGGGCGGAGCCGCGGCCGCCGCGTCCGGCTCCGGCCCGAACTTCTGCCGAGCGGACAGCAGCCGCGGCGCCGCGCCCCGTGCCCCCCCCTCTCCAGCCTGCCCTCCGAGCCTCCCGAGCCCTCGCTCCATTCCCACAGCTGTGCTGGTAAGTCCCGCTCCCCGCACCAAACTTTTCCGGGGCCGAGCTGAAGTCCTGCGATCGGACCCCGAGCTGCATCGTGGTGGGTGGGGGGGAGGGGGGGAGAACGGAGCGCGGCCGCCTCGGACCGATGCCGACTCCGTGGCTTCCCCGAGACGCAGCAGCGCTCGCTGATTTCCCGGGTTGGAAGAACTCTGGATTGCAACTGCTCAAACTTTACGTCGAGCTGGAGACGAGGCTCTGCGCCCCACCTTCGCCGCCCCCTCCCCCACTTTTCTCAGCTCTAGCAGCTCCGGATACTTTCCCTCCATCTTCCAGGGATCTCCGGCTCCCTAAAAAGCTCGTCCCCTCCCGACTCTGCCGTGGCAGAGCCGCCCTCCACCAGGCACTTCGGGCCCGCCTCCTCCTCCGCTGCCCTCGGGGACCCCGCGATCTTCCGGGCCTTACGCTGCCTCGCGGGCCACCCGTCCTGCCAACCCGCCGCAGACGTGCGGCCGCCGGGTCCGCGGCGGAGGGAGGGGCTCGGGCTGGGGCTCGTCCGACGCCCGGCGGGCGGGGCCGGGAAGGGGAGGCGCAGGGGGCCGGACGGGGCGGGGCAGGCGGCACTTGCGGCCGGCGCCGGGGTGGGGAGTTGTGCGCCGGTCCCTGGGCCTGAGCTCCGGCTCCGGCTGGGGCGCCTGCGATGTCTCAAGATGGCGGAGCTGGGCGAATTAAAGGTACCGGCCCCCTCCCCCACCCCCATCGGGCCTGCGCCCGGCGGGGCGCCGTGTCCGGGAAGCGACCGGGACTGGGTGCCGGGGCTCGGGTGGGCGCCGGCGACGTGGCAGGGGCGGGCGGCTGAGGACGGGAGAGCGGCGGCCGCGAGCGGGGAAGGGGCTGCGGCGGGCTCCGGGGGCGGGGCTGCGGGGCAGATGCAGGGGTGGGGCCGAGGGGGGGAACCGCCGCCGCGGGGGGCCGGGGCGCGGGGGGCGGGGACGAGGGGCCGCGGGCCGATTTAGTAGCAGGGGCAGTTGTTGGGGTAGGGCCGGGGCGAAAAGCCGCTGCAGAGGCACCCGGGCGAGTCCGTCGGGGCCGAGAGAGGCGACGGCAGGGGCCGGATGCGGGGATGGGACCGTGGGGCAGATGTAGGGGAGGCCCCGAGGGCGAGGCAGCCGAGGGGACGGGGGCTTTGGGGGTGCGCTCGGGATCCGAGCTGTGGGCAAGATCGGTAGGCGGCTGCGATGGAGGGGCGGGGCTGCGCGGGCCCGCGCCTCGAGGGGTGGGGCAGGGGCGTCCCGGAGGCTCCGCGGAAGGTGCTGGCGGAGCGGACCGCGGCGGAGGCGTGTGAACCCGGGGGCCGGGAAGGAGGGAAGTTACAGGGGAGCTCATGGAGGAAAAGAGACGGGCCAGAGGAGATAAGGATGGGGAGAGAGAGGAGCAAGTTTCTCATCACGTTCCACAAAAGGGGCCCCAGACAAAGCCTCCTATGGGAAGCATTGGGTAGGACTAGCATGCCCTGCCCACGACGCGATCTCCTGGAGCCTCACAGAAGGGAGTCCCCTAAGGAGGAGCGCTCCCCTTCTGCTTACAGAGTTTTCAGGGTGACCACACGGGAGTTTTCAGGGTGACCACACGGGAGGACTCACAGAGTTTTCAGGGTGACCACACGGGAGGACATCGCAAAGCACCTTCAACCACCGGGTTCATCCCCCTGCCTCCTGGCTTGCTGCTTCTGCCCTTTGCAATGGAGCTGTGGTCCTGGGCAGGCTGCAGGTCTCGCCCCTGGGCCCAGCTACCTTCAGGGAATTTGCGATTCTGTGCCCTGACTCAGAGGCTTTTTCTTCAGCCAGCCAGGGGCTCTGTTGAGAGCTCTGCCCTCTCCTCTCCCACTCCTGTAGGGGGGCTGTAGGTTGTAGCGGGGTGTTATTTTCTCTGTGTAGGAGAGAAGCTGGTTCCTGCTTCCTGACAGACCGACAGTTAATCAGGCAGGATACCTGGACTCCGTGGTTTGCTGTGTACACCCCCTCCGCCCCCAGAAGCAAGTTTTGGTCTTGTTTCCCTTCCAGAAAAATAGGACTAAATCTCCGAGAGGGGGCGGTTATAGAAATGATTCCAAGAAAGGATCTGGGGTAGTTACGAGCATTGAGCCCTGACCTGAAAACCCTGGCCACAAAAGCTTCAGAGGCTTGGGGGAAATAGCTGAGGTGAATTCAGGTGGTTGGGGGGTGGGCTGAAGGGCACGATCCTCCAGCCGCCTGGCCCCTTTCTTCCCCGTGGGTGAGTCTGGCTTGAATGGTCTCCTCTCCCTGCTTCTCCCTGTCTCCTATCGTCTTCCCAGGAGGCTGGGGTGGGTTCGAGAGTCTGAGAAAAGGGCAAGAGAGAAGATAAGCCGCTTAAAGGAGAGTCCCGACTAGAGGCAGGGATGGTGGTGGGAGGCCGCAGTGGACTCGGAGCTGTGTCTGAGGGTGGCTTCTCGTCTGCGTTCCCCGCCCCACTCTGGCTGCTTGCAGGCCTGGGAAGATAGTGTCGTTCAAGCTCTGGCGGGTGCTGATGATGCTGACCTGAGGGTTGCCAGAGCGGGGCTGAGATGTCCCTTTGGAGAGGTCGACTACCTGGCAGTGATCCGCTAGCTGAAAGCATCAACTTCCCCATCAGTGCTGGGGGGAAAAAGGCCCTGCCCATCTGCTAGCTCAGCCCATGGCTTGGCAGGACAGGCCTGTGCGAGGTAGGATTCTGAGGCTTCTGTGTTCTTCTCCACAGCACATGGTGATGAGTTTCCGGGTGTCTGAGCTCCAGGTGCTTCTTGGCTTTGCTGGCCGGAACAAGAGTGGACGGAAGCACGAGCTCCTGGCCAAGGCCCTGCACCTCCTGAATTCCAGCTGTGCCCCTAGCGTCCAGATGAAGATCAAAGAGCTCTACCGACGACGCTTTCCCCGGAAGACCCTGGGGCCCTCTGATCTCTCCCTGCTCTCTTTGCCCCCTGGCACCTCTCCCGTAGGCTCCCCTGGCCCTCTAGCTCCCATTCCCCCAACCCTGTTGGCCCCTGGCACCCTGCTGGGCCCCAAGCGTGAGGTGGACATGCACCCCCCTCTGCCCCAGCCTGTGCACCCCGACGTCACCATGAAACCACTGCCCTTCTATGAGGTCTACGGGGAGCTCATCCGGCCCACCACTCTTGGTACGCCTCTTCGTGGTCCCTTAGTCTTCTGGACTCCATGCCTGTTCCCGAAACATTTCAGAGGCTTGAGTCCCGTGGGATCAGCGGCACGGATGGGGGTGATTTCTGTGGCTGCCTGTACGTGGGCTTCGAATAACTGCCTTTTCGTATCCTCAGCATCCACTTCCAGCCAGCGGTTTGAGGAAGCACACTTCACCTTTGCCCTCACACCCCAGCAAGTGCAGCAGATTCTCACCTCCAGGTACATTTCTTTCAGTCTTCCTGCCTCATCCCTGGAGGGTTACCCCTGGGCTTTCCTTTCTGACTCTCTTTTTTTTTTTTTTTTTTTTGAGACGGAGTTTCGCTCTTGTTACCCAGGCTGGAGTGCAGTGGCGCGATCTCGGCTCCCCGCAACCTCCGCCTCCTGGGTTCAGGCAATTCTCCTGCCTCAGCCTCCTGAGTAGCTGGGATTACAGGCACGTGCCACCATGCCCAGCTAATGTTTTGTATTTTTAGTAGAGACGGGGTTTCACCATGTTGACCAGGTTGGTCTCGATCACTCGACCTCGTGATCCACCCGCCTCGGCCTCCCAAAGTGCTGGGATTACAGGCTTGAGCCACCGCGCCCGGCCTCCTTTCTGACTCTCTTTCCTTCTGCCCTGCTCTCTCCCCTGTCCATTCTCCTATTCCTGCTTGTTCCTCGTTCTTTCGTATGTCTCTCCTCGGTGCCCTGGACGTCTAACTTTCAGTCTCTCTGTCCATTCATCCCTGCCCTCTGGGGGCTACATGCCGATATCTCTTCATCTCCTTCCCTGTTACAGAGAGGTTCTGCCAGGAGCCAAATGTGATTATACCATACAGGTGCAGCTAAGGTGAGTTCTGCCTCCCTCCCTATGCTGGGTTCCCACTGGGGGTAGGACTGAAGTAGGGGTATGACAGATACCCTGATGAGACGTCCCTGCTCTGCCACTGTCTACTCCGGTCCCGGGACTCTTGTTGGATGCTGAGGGCTATAGACATCTATGACTGATTTTCTGGGGCTCCCTGTCTCTCTGCCCAGATTGAACTAAAGAAATCTGCTGGGCGCGGTGGCTCACGCCTGTAATCCCAGCACTTTGGGAGGCCGAGGCGGGCGGATCACCTGAGGTTAGGAGTTCAAGACCAGCCTGACCAACATGGAGAAACCCCGCCTCTACTAAAAATACAAAATTAGCTGGGCACGGTGGCGCGTGCCTGTAATCCCAGCTACTCGGGAGGCTGAGGCAGGAGAATCGCTTGAACCTGGGAGGCGGAGGTTGTGGTGATCCAAGATTGCACCGTTGCACTCCAGCCTGGGCAACAAGAGCGAAACTCTGTCTCAGAAAAAAAAAAAAAAACAAGGAAAGAAATTTCTTCGCAGTCTTTCTTACTTTTTCATCTCTCACTAGGTTCTGTCTCTGTGAGACCAGCTGCCCCCAGGAAGATTATTTTCCCCCAAACCTCTTTGTCAAGGTCAACGGGAAACTGTGCCCCCTGCCGGTAAATGCTTTCCCCTTCTTCTGTCAGTAATCCGTTACCGCTTCAGTTCATAAATACTAACTACAAAGCTATTCTGACAGAGGGACATCCCTAACACAGTGCCTGACGTATAGTAGGTGCTCAGTTCACTGATTGAATCAATATCGTCTCGAGAGTATTAAGATAGGGCTGAACAAAGGTTCTGTGAGAACTCAGAGGACATTAGTTTAACCCAGAGATTTAAGAAATACTTTTTTTTTTTTTTTTTTTTTTTTTGAGAAGATGGAGTTGCTCTGTTTCCCAGACTGGAGTGCAGTGACACAATCTCGGCTCCCTGCAATCTCCACCTTCCAGGTTCAAGTGATTCTCCTGCCTCAGCCTCCCGAGTAGCTGGGATTACAGGCGTGCACCACTGCACCCGGCTAATTTTGTATTTTTAGTAGAGGCGGGGTTTCTCCATGTTGGCCAGGCTGGTCTCGATCTCCTGACCTCGTGGTCCACCTGCCTTGGCCTCCCAAAGTGCCGGGATTACAGGCGTGAGCCACTGCACCCTGCCAGAAAGACTGCCTTTTTTTTTTTTTTTGAGACAGAGTCTCACACTGTCACCAGGCGCCAGCAGGCTGGAGTGCAGCGCCACCACACCCAGCTAATTTTTTTTGTATTTTTAGTAGAGACGGGGTTTCACCATGTTGGCCAGGATGGTTTCGATCTCTTGACCTCGTGATCCGCCCACCTCGGCCTCCCAAAGTGCTGGGATTACAGGCGTGAGCCACCGCGCCCGGCCCAGAAAGACTTCTTATGAGTTGTGACCCCAGAGCTAAGAGTTGGAAAAGGTGAGGCATCCCTATTCCTCCTCCTCAGGGCCTCTGTGAGTGGGTTCCTATTTTCTCAATCAGTAAATAAGCTCTCCTTTCTCCCCAGGAGCGAGCCCCACTCACAGCCCTAGACAGTGCTCTGGTTTGGTGAGCCACTGTATGGGCCTCCATCCGCTTGCTCAGTGAGTGCGTTGGCTTTCCCTCCAGGGAGTGAATAACCCGAGACAGGATATTTTTTGTTGCTAGAGCCGAGCCCCTTCGCACAGCCACCTCTCTGCTGACCAGTCCCTCCCTTCTCCAGGGTTACCTTCCCCCAACCAAGAATGGGGCTGAGCCCAAGAGGCCCAGCCGCCCCATCAACATCACACCCCTGGCTCGACTCTCAGCCACTGTTCCTAACACTATTGTGGTCAATTGGTCATCTGAGTTCGGACGGGTGAGCACAGCTAAAGCAGGGTGCCTGGAAAAGCCTGCTGGGGGCGAGGGGAACTGACCCAGTGTCCCGGGTCGGGGAAGCATCTTCCTCTTTATGCGTCTGTCTCTGGTCCTCCTGGAACAAAGGTGGGCAGTGGTGGCATGAGAAGCAGAAGCTGATGGTCTTCCCCCTACTCCCAAGTAGAATTACTCCTTGTCTGTGTACCTGGTGAGGCAGCTGACTGCAGGGACCCTTCTACAGAAACTCAGAGCAAAGGGTATCCGGAACCCCGATCACTCGAGGGCACTGAGTGAGTAATGTCTTTCCCCGCCTGATCTGCCTCCGAGTCTTCCTGGCCCTCCAGCTTTCATAATAAAACCCACACCTCTTCCCAGGCAGTGAGTGACACTCTTGGATTTCCAGTGATGTAGCTGCTTTCCACCTCACAGTCCCGAACTCCAGCCCTGCTAGAATCTGGGCTCTCTGGACTGGAATCTTTGAAGACCTCTAATCTAACCCTCACATGATCGTTCGACTCCTCCAGGTCACCTCTTAACGTAGCCTGAGTGTCACTGAAACAGCTACGTTTAAGCCTCTTCAGGATGGCCAATCTCCCACACCCAGCCTTCATAAACCATATCCCAGACCACTCCTGTGTGATGTCCCACTGGACCCTCAAAAGACTCTTCACCCAGCAGCCTCTCAGCCAGAGCCATCTGCTCCTGGCCCGACCAACTCCTGGGCTTCCCGCAGCCTTGCTGACCCCATGGCTCTGGCCTCACTTTTGTTTCAGTCAAGGAGAAATTGACTGCTGACCCTGACAGTGAGGTGGCCACTACGAGTCTCCGGGTGTCACTCATGTGCCCGGTGGGTAAAAGGGAAGAAGAGAAGGGGGTGGGAAGGGAGCTGGGTTTAGCTTGTGGACTTTGATGAGGGTTCGTAGGGACACTGGAGCGAGGTTTTCTGGGACGAAAGCAGAGTGGAGCCTCTGACGAGAGAACTTGCCTGTCCTCAGCTAGGGAAGATGCGCCTGACTGTCCCTTGCCGCGCCATCACCTGTGCCCACCTGCAGAGTTTCGACGCTGCCCTTTATCTACAGATGAACGAAAAGAAGCCAACATGGACGTGTCCTGTGTGCGACAAGAAGGCGCCCTATGAATCTCTTATCATTGATGGGTAGGCCATTTGACTTCCTTTTACCTAGGACATTCACTAGGACCCCTTATCTTGGTTCTTTCTTTCTTTCTTTCTTTCTTTTTTTTTTACTTTTTTTGTGTGTGTGATTGAGTATTGTTCTCTTGCCCAGGTTGGAGTGCAGTGGTGCGATCTTGGCTCGTTGCAGCCTCCGCCTTCAGGGTTCAAGTGATTCTCTGCCTCAGCCTCCTGAGTAGCTAGGACTGCAGGCGCGCACCACCACGCCTGGCTAATTTTTGTATTTTTAGTAGAGATGGGATTTCACCACGTTGGTCAGGCTGGTCTCATCAGATTCCTAACCTCAGGTGATCCACTCACCTCAGCCTCCCAAAGTGCTGGGATTACAGGCGTGAGCCACCATGCCCAGCCTATATTTTTCTTTTCTTTTAGCCACCGCCTCCTTCAGGGTTTTAGGACCCCTCTTTTTTTTTTTTTTTTTTTTTGAGATGGAGTTTTGCTCTTGTCACCCAGGCTGGAGTGCAATGACGATCTCGGCTCACCGCAACCTCCGCCTCCTGGGTTCAGGCAATTCTCCTGCCTCAGCCTCCTGAGTAGCTGGGATTACAGGCACGCACCACCATGCCCAGCTAATTTTTTGTATTTTTAGTAGAGACGGGGTTTCACCATGTTGACCAGGATGGTCTCCATCTCTTGACCTCGTGATCCACCCGCCTCGGCCTCCCAAAGGGCTGGGATTACAGGCTTGAGCCACCGCGCCTGGCCTTAGGACCCCTCTTTTTAATTTGTATGACTTACTTCCCCTCACGTGAACCCCAGTTCTCACCTTATCTCCTTATCTATCCCTTTTACCGTTTCGTGTGTGTGTGTACGTCCGTGTGTGTGGAGTGGGAGGACAACGGTAAGGACTCAGTATATACAAGGCATCTTGCCGAGCACTGTGCATGAGCTATCTCATTGAATCGTCTCAGTGACGCTACGGATTAGGTGCAGTGGCTTCCGCCTGTAATACCAACACTGGAAGGCTGAGATGGGAAGATCATTTGAGGCCAGCCTGGGCAACACAGTAAGACTCTGTCTATATAAAAACATTTTAGCCGGGCACGGTGGCTCACGCCTGTAATCCTAGCACTTTGGGAGGCCGAGGCGGGTGGATCACCTGAGGTCAGGAGTTCAAGACCTGGCCATCATGGTGAAACCCCATCTTATAAAATAAATAAATAAATAAAAACATTTTTAAAATTAGCCAGGCATGGTATCATAGCTCATGACTGTAGTCTTAGCTGCTCAGCAGACTGAGGTGGGAGGATGGCTTGGAACTCAAGAGTTTGAGGCCGCAGTGAGCTGTGATTGCATCACTGCACCTCAGCCTGGCAACAGATGGAGATCCTGTCTCAAAAAAAGAAATAAGCCTATGATTAGTTAGTGACACCCAGAAAAAAAAAGGTGAAAAAAAAAACCCGTGAGATAGGTAGTATCATTACAGAGGAGGAAACTGAGGCCTTGAGAGATTGAGTCTTGCTGAAGGTTAGATTGTTAAGTGGCAGAGTCAGTGTACTGAACTGTCATAATACATCACCTATGACAACTATCTGAGTTCCCACTGAGCCTTGCAATAAGATTCTTTTGAGGGCCTGGATGTTCTGATCTTTTGCTCTAGCTAGTCTTTTATTATTTTAAAAAATTTTTTTATTTTTTTATTATTTTTTATTTTTTTATTTTTATTTTTTTTTTTATTTTTATTTATTTTTTTTTTTTGAGACGGAGTTTCGCTCTTGTTACCCAGGCTGGAGTGCAATGGCGCGATCTCGGCTCACCGCAACCTCCGCCTCCTGGGTTCAGGCAATTCTCCTGCCTCAGCCTCCTGAGTAGCTGGGATTACAGGCATGCGCCACCATGCCCAGCTAATTTTTTGTATTTTTTAGTAGAGACGGGGTTTCACCATGTTGACCAGGTTGGTCTCGATCTCTCGACCTCGTGATCCACCCGCCTCGGCCTCCCAAAGTGCTGGGATTACAGGCTTGAGCCACCGCGCCCGGCTTATTTTTATTTTTTTTTGAGACGGAGTTTCGCTCTTGTTACCCAGGCTGGAGTGCAATGGCGCGATCTCGGCTCACCGCAACCTCCGCCTCCTGGGTTCAAGCAATTCTCCTGCCTCAGCCTCCCGAGTAGCTGGGACTACAGACGTGCACCACCATGCCCAGCTAATTTTTGTATTTTTAGTAGAGACGGGGTTTCACCATGTTGACCAGGATGGTCTCGATCTCTTGACCTCGTGATCCACCGGCCTCGGCCTCCCAAAGTGCTGGGATTACAGGCGTGAGCCACCGAGCCCGGCCAAATTTTTTTATTTTTAAGACCGGGGTCTCACCATGTTGGCCAGCCTGGTCTTGAACTCCCGACCTCAGGTGATCTGCCTGCCTTGGCCTCCAAAGTGCTTGGATTACAGGTGTGAGCCACCACGCCTGGCCTACCCTAGCTAGTCATAACCCCTTTTCAGAATCTACATTGTGGTTCTTGTTCCCAGTCTCCCCTGCCCCAGGATTTTTTTTGTTTTTGTTTTTTGTGTTTTTTTGAGGCAGGGTCTCATTCTGTTGCCCAGGCTGGAGTACAATGGCATGATCATAGCTCACTGCAGCCTTGACCTTTTGGCCTCAAGTGATCCTCTCACCTTGGCCTCCCAAAGTGCTGGGATTACAGGCATGAGCTGCCACACCTGGCCTTTATTTATTTATTCTTACGCAAATGTGTGGAAAGCCAAAGACCCAGTGCCTTCTGGAGATGGTTTATGGACTTCTGTCTCTCTGTTCCTTTTGTTCCTTCTACTACACGTAAGTACTCAGATTTCTTTTTGAGACGGAGTTTCACTCTCACCCAGGCTGGACTGCAGTGGCATGATCTTGGCTCACTGCAGCCTCCGCCTGCTGGGTTCAAGGGATCCTCTTGCCTTAGCCTTCCGAGTAGCTGGGATTACAGGCATGTGCTGTCACACCTGGCTAATTTTGTATTTTTTTTTTTTTTTGAGACGGAGTTTCGCTCTTGTTACCCAGGCTGGAGTGCAATGGCGCGATCTCGGCTCACCGCAACCTCCGCCTCCTGGGTTCAGGCAATTCTCCTGCCTCAGCCTCCTGAGTAGCTGGGATTACAGGCACGCGCCACCACGCCCAGCTAGTTTTTTGTATTTTTAGTAGAGACGGGGTTTCACCGTGTTGACCAGGATGGTCTCGATCTCTTGATCTCATGATCCGCCCGCCTCGGCCTCCCAAAGTGCTGGGATTATAGGCATGAGCCACCGTGCCCGGCCCCTAATTTTGTATTTTTAATAGAGATGGGGTTTCACCATGTTGGCCAAGCTGGTCTCAAACTCCTGACTTCAGGTGATCCACTTGCCTTGGCCTCTGAAAGTGGGATTACAGGCATGAGCCACTGCACCGACATTTTTTTTTTTTTAAGGCAGAACCTTGCTCTGTTTCCCAGGCTGGAGAACAGTGGTGTGATCTTGGCTCACTGCAACCTCTGCCTCCCGGGTTTAAGCGATGTTCGTGCCTCAGGCTCCCGAGTAGTTGGGATTATAAGCATGTGCCACCACACCTGGCTAATTTTTATATTTTTGGTAGAGATGAGGTTTCACCATGTTGGCTAGGGGTGCCAGCCTCTCAAACTCCCAGCCTCAAGTGATTCACCCGTCTCTACCCCTCAAAGTGCCGGGATTACAGGTGTGAGTCACTCACCTGGCCTCCGATTGTATTTATTTATTTTTTGATAAATAAAATCAAAAATCGCGCCCGGCCCGATTGTATTTATTTTAAAACCTACTTGACTCCTGGAGGAGGAAGAAGAAAAAAGAAAAAAAAAAAAAAAACCTACTACTTAGTTTGTAAAACTCTTTTACATACCTTCTGTTATTTGATTCCAGCAACTCAAGAGAGGTTCAGTAGGATGGACAGTATCCTTATTTTACAGATGAGGAAACTGAGGTACAGGAAGGTGAGTCACAGAACTCTCCGGCTACTGTTCCAAGAATTTTCATCTCTCTCCTTCCCCAGTTTATTTATGGAGATTCTTAGTTCCTGTTCAGATTGTGATGAGATCCAGTTCATGGAAGATGGATCCTGGTGCCCAATGAAACCCAAGAAGGAGGCATCTGAGGTTTGCCCCCCGCCAGGGTATGGGCTGGATGGTGAGTGAACCCCTGTTCCCCAGCTGAGCTACATCCTGGATGGCCTCTTCTCTGAGACGTGGTCTTCTTGCTACCCGCAGGCCTCCAGTACAGCGCAGTCCAGGAGGGCCATCCGTCAGAGAATAAGAAGAAGGTCGAAGTAATTGACTTGACAACAGAAAGCTCATCAGATGAGGAGGATCTGCCCCCACCCAAGAGGCACTGTCCCGTCGAGGATCTGCCCCCACCCAAGAGGCACTGTCCCGTCGCCTCCGCTGCCGTCCCCGCCCTACCTGGAAGCAAAGGGTAGGAGAAAACTGGCTGAATCGACAGCAAAAGGGACAGGGGAGGAAGTCCGAAATGCTTGCTTTTTTTTTTTTTTTTTTTTTTTTTTTGAGACGGAGTTTCGCTCTTGTTACCCAGGCTGGAGTGCAATGGCACGATCTCGGCTCACCGCAACCTCCGCCTCCTGGGTTCAGGCAATTCTCCTGCCTCAGCCTCCTGAGTAGCTGGGATTACAGGCACGCGCCACCATGCCCAGCTAATTTTTTGTATTTTTTAGTAGAGACAGGGTGTCACCATGTTGACCAGGATGGTCTCGATCTCTCGACCTCGTGATCCACCCGCCTCGGCCTCCCAAAGTGCTGGGATTACAGGCTTGAGCCACCGCGCCCGGCCAGTCCGAAATGCTTTCTGATCATCGGACCCTGGGGCGAGGGACATGCGGAAGGGACAGAGGGACCCTGGGGGCCTGCGCTGGGGGAGGGCCTCTGTGGTTTGCCGCCTGCCTCAGCTCCGCTCTACCCACAGAGTCCTGACGCCTGGCCACCAGCCATCCTCGGTGCTGAGGAGCCCTGCCATGGGCACGCTGGGTGGGGATTTCCTGTCCAGTCTCCCACTCCATGAGTACCCACCTGCCTTCCCACTGGGAGCCGACATCCAAGGTATGACCTGGATCATCACAGGGGCTCTGCGCTGCCACACCCTCTCCAGAGCCTCATCGGAACCCCGGTTCCTTCTCAGCACCTCCTGCTTCTCCTGCAGGGCGCCACAATCCAAGTGCTTTGTCTCTTAGGGGTCAAGGGGTCAGGCAGGAGGTTGATTCTGATTTTTCTTTTCCTGCCAGGTTTAGATTTATTTTCATTTCTTCAGACAGAGAGTCAGGTAAGTGTTCTTTCCTCAGAAGGTCTCAGATCTCTGAAGCTTCCTTTCTAGGCGCTGATGGGACCCTTCCATCTCGTAGGGTCTCTGGGGATGTAAATCTGCTTTTCTAGGAGGAAAGTGGGGTGTTGGTAGCTTACTTCCCTCCTCAGCCCCACTGGTAGTGCCTGGGATTGCTGCGTAGGCCTTGCTAGATCCCGGGCCTGTTCTGCCCCGGCCTGCTCACCCCCACCCGCCCCCGTGTGCACTTGGAGCACCATGCCTGCCCTAACCGGACATTCCACACATTTCAGACGCCCACAAAGCCAGGAACCTAGCAAGCTGGAGGAGCTCTCAAGGCAGGGAAAGGGGTAGGGTGTGGGGAAGTAGGAGTAAGAAGGAGAGGTTCTTCTCAGAGAATACCCTGGGAACCACAGGGGTTGATGGCTCCCACGTGGCATTTCGGAGTGACTGGGAGGTGGGAAGTCAGGATGAGATCTTAAACTACGCCCTTGATTCTTCCTAGCACTACGGCCCCTCCGTCATCACGTCACTAGATGAACAAGATGCCCTTGGCCACTTCTTCCAGTACCGAGGGACCCCTGCTCACTTTCTGGGCCCACTGGCCCCCACGTTGGGGAGCTCCCATCGCAGCGCCACTCCGGCGCCCCCTCCTGGCCGTGTCAGCAGCATTGTGGCCCCTGGGGGGGCCTTGAGGGAGGGGCATGGAGGACCCCTGCCCTCAGGTCCCTCTTTGACTGGCTGTCGGTCAGACATCATTTCCCTGGACTGAGTTCCTTGGATTATGGAAACCTCACTGTCCGCCAACACGGAGCAGGTAGGCTGTGGAGTCCCAGCGCCGGCTGCTCTGATCCCTCTAGGGGGCTCTGGCCAGGGGCCAGACAGACCTTCACAGATGCCTGCTTTTGACCTCCTCACTGTCTGACGAGGCGAGCACCCAAAGGGTTAATATTTAACCTCTTTTTCCGGACACTGGGGTCTGTTTTGGCAATGTTCTTTAGGTGGTGGCCATTCCTCTGGGTATGTTAACCTAGGCAGTGGGGGGCCAATGAGATGGGATGTGAGCTGGGAGAAGGCCTGAACCCCCAGCCTTGCCTTGTGTCTGGAGCCTCCTGGGGGAGGGGCGCCTCTCTTGAACCCCAAATGCCCTCTCTCCTCACCCCCAAGCCCATGGCTCGGCCTCTTCCTCCTGTCCGTTGTCTCTTCATGCCCATTCCGTTCCCTTCAGCCACAGACAGGTGGAAACCCTGAGACGGGCGGTTTCAGAGATGGACAGAGAACTTTATTTTGGATTGTCGAGGTAGATGTTTTTGTACATAAAGAAGAAAAACCAAAATACTCCAAAGATGACTTCCCCTGCCTCCTGCTTCCAGTGTGACTGAGGAGGATGTAAGGCCTTAGCCATGATCCCCAGGGCTTTGGGAGTAGGGCCTGGCCTGTCGCCTGGGTCTCTCTCTATTTATATATTTAAGTTCGCAGTGTTTCTTCACGCCAGCCTGAGCCAGAGGCCCATGGCCCTGTGGTTAGGCCCGGCTCCTTCTGCACCTTGCCAGGGAGGTGGGAGGACACGGTGCCCCCCTTCCCGCTCTTCTTCAGGCTCGTCTAAAGCCTAAGACCTATGTCGTAATTTTACTTTTTATTCCCAAAGTTGTAGTGAAGCTCTCGCCATAATAAAGGTTGTGAATGTTCTGTGAGTGTCACGGAGATGGGCGAGGGAGGGGATCGTACACTCCCCTTTCGAGAGCCCCGGTTTGGGGGAGGAAGGGCCATGTTCCATGCTTCCTTTGCCGGCCCTGGGTCCAGGCGAGCTCCACTTGAACGCGGTGGGGGCGTTTCAAGGAGGAATTCCAAGACAGGCTGGCCTTTCTCCCTTCCCCTCCCCATGCCTGTCAAATCTAGACCATCCTACCCAGTACCATGGAGCTCTCCAGTGCTTTTTTTTTTTTTTTTTTTTTTTTTGAGACGGAGTTTCGCTCTTGTTACCCAGGCTGGAGTGCAATGGCGCGATCTCGGCTCACCGCAACCTCCGTCTCCCGGGTTCAGGCAATTCTCTTGCCTCAGCCTCCTGAGTAGCTGGGATTACAGGCACGTGCCACCATGCCCAGCTAGTTTTTTTGTATCTTTAGTAGAGACGGGGTTTCACCATGTTGACGAGGATGGTCTCGATCTCTCGACCTCGTGATCCACCCGCCTCGGCCTCCCAAAGTGCTGGGATGACAGGCTTGAGCCACCGCGCCCGGCCTTCTCCAGTGCTTTTTCACTTTCGCCTGCCCAGATGTTGCAGCCAGAGCCCGAGGGCAAACTTGGTTCCAGTGCTGACCCTCTCCTCGTCCTCTGCCGTGGTTGGGATCATCCGCAGCAGGGTAGCCGTGGGCAGGACCAGAGGCCGGGCGCTCCCATCGTCCTCTACTTCCACAGCACTGCATAGCGACAACTCCCGTGGGGACTGTGCCTTGTAGCTCGCAAAGAACGTACATATTTGTTAGGTCCTCAGATCCTCCCAATCACCACAGGAGGTGGGTGGGTGCTGACCTCATGGGCAGAAAGGAAACGGGATCAAGGGGGGTTACATGACTTGCCCCTGTGTTAGAACTCACACTGAGACCTTCCGTGCTAGCCAGTGAGAGCAAGGATCCTTGGGGTTTGACAGTCAGTGACTGTGGTTTCACGTGCCTTCTAAATTATCAGCTGACCCCCTCTCCTTCCCACACCACAGAATTCCATCCTGAGGAGAGGGTGGACACTGAACTTCTCAATGTGAATAGGTCGGTGTATTAGCCCGTGAGGGGGAAGCTCGCACTTACAGGACAGAGGGCGGTAGGTCCTCTGGGAGAAGTCCGGGGGTCTCTGTCCCATCCTCGGTGGCAGCCACTGCAGCAGCTACATCTGCTGTCAGCCACGTAAGGGCACTCACCTCACTTGGATTTGGTTGGATCCGGGCCTGGGGGTCAGATATGTTGACCCCTCAGTCATGGCCTCTCCCTGGGAGGCCTGTTTGTGATCAAGACCTACCCACAGCTGGCATGGAGAAAGGCAGGGGCAAGGGGCAAGGTACTTCATTCTCTCTGACCACCGCCCGCCCAGCCGCCAATCACTGTCAGAACCAGGTTGCTTGGGCTCCCGTGAGCCGTTGCCTTCCCTCACTGCCAGCCCTACCTGCAGCTGCTGCTGTGATTCCTGGGAGATCACGAGTAGATACAGAACGATGTGGTGGTATCTGGGTAAACCCCAGCTCAGCCTAGGAGGGTAGGCAGACTAGGAAAAGAAAACAGCAAAACAGAACTTCCTGTTACTTTTTTTTTTCTTGAGGCGGAGTTTCTTATTGCCCAGGCTGGAGTGTGGTGGTACAATCTCGCCTCACTGCAACCTCTACCTCCCGGGTTCAGGCTATTCTTCAGCCTCAGCCTCCCAAGTAGCTTGGATTACAGGCATGCACCAGCATGCCCGTCTAATTTTTGTATTTTTAGTCGAGACGGGGTTTCGACATGTTGGCCAGGCTGGTCTCGAACTTCTGACCTCGGGTGATCTGCCCAACTCGGTCTCTGAAAGTGCTGGGATAACAGGCGTGAGCCACCATGCCCAGCCCTGTCTGTCACGTTTTGAGACTTTGCTAATACAGCTTTTTTTTTTTTCTTTTTTTTTTTTTTTTTTGTCCTTTTGAGACGGAGTTTTGCTCATTACCCAGGCTGGAGTGCAATGGCGCGATCTCGGCTCACCGCAACCTCCGCCTCCTGGGTTCAGGCCATTCTCCTGCCTCAGCCTCCCGAGTAGCTGGGATTACAGGCACGCGCCACCATGCCCAGCTAATGTTTTGTATTTTTAGGAGAGTCGGGGTTTCACCGTGTTGACCAGGATGGTCTCGATCTCTTGACCTCGTGATCCACCCGCCTCGGCCTCCCAAAGTGCTGGGATTACAGGCGTGAGCCACCGCGCCCAGCCCGCTAATACAGCTTTAGGGTGAAACAAAATGGTGGCTAAAAGCTGAGGGCGTGGATGGTACAGATGACACAGCAGGGACACGGGTGACGGTTATGGATTTGGGGACTCCGACCCAACCACTGTTTTCTTTGTAGCCAAGGCAGGTAGAGGCTCATCTATGGACTTTGGTGGGTAGCGGCTGAGGTCTCTTGGTTAGCTATGGAGGGGCTTCTCCCAGCGCCTCGCCTCACCTCCCATAACCCCAGAGGGACCCAGGAGAACCGGCCCCGGGGCAGATGCAGTCCACTCTCCTCCCAGAGTTCTCGAAGGCCTCCATCCAGCAGCTGGGAGTCAGAGAGGACGGGTCAGAGTGGCCAGTGCCTGACTCCTCCGGGTCCTTTTGCTTGCCCCTCGCTCAGCCCACACCCGAGGTGGTCCCAGACACTGGTCTTTTGGCTCGGGTCGGATCAGCTGACGGGTTACCTCTTCCTCAGGTTCCACCTGCCCGCCTGCAACAACAGTGGGACCAATAGGTAGTCATGGCGGCGGTCTTGACCGGGGACCCCACTCGCCGTTGACACTCCTCTGCCCTCTGGTGGACACAGGTGGAGTTGCAGTCACTGTGACCATGAACATGTCACATTTTGGGGCCCACTTCATCCTTGAGGCTGGGAAAAGCATTGTGGGGAAGAAGGGCGCGTTTCTCTCCTGTACGTGGGGCCTCGGCCTCGGAACTTACTCACCGGGGGGTACCCAGAGGTTGGGGGAAACGCTGAGGGCGCGTGCCCTTCTGGTCAGCAAGACGGTCTGGTCACTGGATTGCAGAATGACGGCCACGCCCAGGCCCACGCCGCGATCCGTGGGCAGCTTGGCCCCAGGGTCCCTGGGCTGCTGCTCCAGGACCGCGAAAGGGCAGAAAGGGGGTCGCTGGTGGAAGGAAGCCAGCTGGGGTAAGGCTTCAGGAGCGGGGCTGGCGGGGGGCGCGCGCGACGGCCCGTTGCGGGCGGGATCCTCGGGCCGCCTGTTCCCACCCGATCGCGGCCCCCGTCCTCGGCCCTTCGCTGCCCCCTCCGCCGGGGCCCGCTTCTGCCGACCTGGAGCGGGAGCCTGGCGGAGGCGCCCGGGAAGGGCCCGCTCGAGAGGACGAGCCGCCCGCGCTTCAAGCTGCAGTGAATGGGCCACGGCCCGGGCCCCGGCCCGGCTCCGAGGAGGCCGCACACGCTCCGTGCGAAGCCCGCCGACTCCGGACGCCCGGACAGAAGCAGCTGCACCCGCGCCGCGGCCATGGCGCCTCTCCGGGGTCGCTGCGGCCCGCCTGGCGCCCCCTGGTGGCCCCGCGACGCTTCCCCTCCGAGCGTTCCGCGGGGTCGGAGGGAAGCGGGGTTTCCGGAAGTCCCCGGGAAATAGAGGCACAGCTTTTGGGGTGACCCATGGGTATAGCGGTAAGCCGCAAAGAGGACTACCGCTCAGTGCTCGGCTACTTCCTTCCTGTCTCCTCCGTTCAGGACAGCGACCCCCGGACCCAATGACTTCGGACTCACGAGTTACTTCCTACCAGCCCTCGGCTGGGCTGTCAGCGCCCCCCGCAGCACTGCGCACCCCTGTTACAGCAGGCGTCACCTCGAGTCGGTTATCTCCAAGCCAAACACGCCAAATCACATTTTTGACGCCACCTCTTTCATGGCACTCAAACGGCAACCAAGTGCGCAGATGTTACCTCCTCCAACTCCCTCAAACCCGTGTTCTCTCCAGCCTTCCTCATGTTTCGCCTGAAATATTGTTGCAAGTCTCCAAATAGTCCCCCCTCTACCGATTCGTTCTCTACAGTGCTGCCACGGTGACAGTTTTTTGGTTTGAGGTCAAGTCTCGCTCTATCACCCAGGCTGCAGTGCATGGGCGTGAGTGATCCCCGCTCACCGCAACCTTCACCTCCCGGGTTGAAGCGATTCTTGCGCTTTAGACTCCCAGGTAGCTGAGATTACAGGGGTGCAGCACCAGGCCCGGCTAATTTTTTGTGTTTTTAGTAGAGACAGGGTTTTGCCCTGTTGGCCAGGCTGGTCTCAAACTCCTGACCTCAGGCGATCCGCCCGCCTTGTCCCCCCACAGTGCTAGGATTCCAGGCTTGAGCCACCGCACCTCACCACAGTCATGTTTCTAAAACACTTAACTGATGATATTGCTTCCCACTGCTTTGAGGACAAACTCTTTAGCACAGTGCGGCCAGAACCCACCAGTTCCTTGTCCCTTCCTGTCTCCAGCCTCAATTCTGACAGACTGACCTGTGCCCTATGTTCTAAAGCAGTTTGTAGTTTCCCCAAGAAACAGACTGCTCTGGGATTCTTTCCTCATTTACCTGGAAAGTCCTAATTTTAAAAAATTGGTATTTTTAAATTAATACATAACAGATGTACATGTGAGAATTTGTTACATTCCTATAATCAAACCAGGGTAATTCAGATACCTATCACCTTAAATCTTTGTTTTTTTTTTTTTTTTTTTTTTTTTTGAGACGGAGTTTCGCTCTTGTTACCCAGGCTGGAGTGCAATGGCGCGATCTCGGCTCACCGCAACCTCCGCCTCCTGGGTTCAGGCAATTCTCCTGCCTCAGCCTCCTGGGTAGCTGGGATTACAGGCATGTGCCACCATGCCCAGCTAATTTTTCGTATTTTTAGTAGAGACGGGGTTTCACCATGTTGACCAGGATGGTCTTGATCTCTTGACCCTGTGATCCACCCGCCTCGGCCTCCCAAAGTGCTGGGATTACAGGCTTGAGCCACCGCGCCCGGCCTCTTCCTTTTTTTTTTTTTTTTTTGAGACAGTCTTGCTTTGTGTAGGTCAGGCTGGGTGCAGTGGTGTGATCTCGGCTCACTGCAACCTCTGCCTCCCGGGTCCCAGTTCAAGCAAGTCTCCTGCCTCACCCTATTCAGTAGCTGGGATTACAGGCATGTGCCACCGTGCCCAGCTAATTTTTTTTTGGGTATTTTTAGTAGAGATAGGGTTTCACCATGTTGGCCAGCCTGGCATTGAACTCCTGACCTCATGATCCACCCACCTTGGCCTCCCAAAGTGCTGGGATTACAGGTGTGAGCCACCATGCCCAGCTCTACTCCCTATTTTCTTGAGATCCACTTTTTTAGCTCCAACATGAGAGAACATGCAGTATTTGTTTCTGTGTAAATAGGCCAACTATTTTACTTCATGACCTCCAATTCCATCCACGTTGCTGCCAATGACAGGAATTCTTTCTTATGGCTGAATAATACATACATTTTCTTTAGCCTTTCATCTACTGATGGGCACCTAGTCAATTGATTCCATGTTTTGGCTATTGTGAAGTGCTGCAGTAAACAAGGGAGTGCAGGTATCTTTTTGATACATTGATTTTTCTTTTGTGCATATATATATATATATATATCTCATATATATCCAGTAGTGGAGTTGCTGGAGCATACAGTTCCATTTTTAATTTTTTTGAGGAAACTCTGTAGTCTTCCATAGTGGCTGTACTAATGTACATTCCCAAGAATGTATGAGGGCTCTCCTTTTTCCACATCCTCTCTAGCATTCACTATTCTTTCTTCTTGATAAAAGTAACTAATTGGGGTGAAATGAAATCTCATTGTGGTTTTGATTTCCGTTTCTCTGATGAGCGATGTTCAATTTTTCATATACCTGTTGGCCATTTGTCTTTTGAAAAATACCTATTCAGATCTTTTGGCCATTTTGCCAGGCTGGAGTGCAGTGGCTCGATCTCGGCTCACTGCAACCTCTGCCTCGAGGGTTCAAGCAATTCTCGTGCCTCAGCCTTCCGAGTAGCGGGGACTATAGGCGCACGCTACCGTACCCAGCTAGAAGCCGAGTGCTGGCAAATGTGGCTTCAGTCCACAGATTCTAGCATGACTGCTTGGGCCCATCCACCTAACCCTGAAAATGACATTTTCCTCTACTCTGTGATAGTCTTTCACATTCCCTACACAGTATGTATGTGTGCATGTGTGTGTGAAAAATGACAGCTCATCAGCCTGGGCAATACAGGGAGGCCCTGTCTCTACAAAAAAAGGAAAAAAAATAAAACGTTAGCCAGGTATGTGTGGTGCATACCTGAAGTCCCAGCTACTCCAGAGGCTGAGGTGGGAGGAGTGCTTAAGGCCAGGAGGTCAAGGTTGCAGGGAGCCAGTGATTGCACTATTACACCCCAGCCTGGGTGACAGAATGAGATCCTGTCTCAACAACAACATATATATATTATATATATATATATATATATATATATATATATATATATATATATATATATATAGTTCTCAACAAAATAAAGAAAAGGCCTACACATTTGAAGATAAAATTAACTTGAGAAGTTTCCTACTGCCAGGGATGTTCAAACATACGTGTGGGTAACTTCTTTATGGGAACGGATGCATCTGATAGATGATTAATCCTGTGGATTTAAGGTTCTTCCCACGGCCAAGATTTGATGAGTGGACAATATGGTGATGGATCTAAAAATGTCAAATTCTTTCAGGTGGATCCTGGGCTGTAGGGATACAGAGGCGGTTTTAGTTCAAGAATCTGCAACTTATGCTTTCTTAACTTAGTAAGATTAAAAAAAAAAAAAAAAAAATCTGCAACTTATCCTACTGCAAATAATGCATCCAGGCACCTCCTTTATTTTGCTTTCCACCGCAACCCGCCCCAGTCTTTTGAGGAAGATGATCTTCTGGGTCACAGTCTCTTCATGGTGCACTCAATGTAAGACTCCAGCAGGAAGATAGTTTCGTCCACCTGGATCTCACTGGCATCCAACCTGAGTGAAAAAGTAAAAGCACTTGCCTAGACTGAATGTTCAATAGCATATTTTAGCTTAGAGGCTGGGTGGATGTGACCATGGAGAACTGCTTGGTTACCCCTGAGAGTGCATGGAAAGAAAGCAGGAGAACCAGTTGATCGTTTGGCCGTTTACCGAGTATCTTTTATGTGCCAGACACCATGGAAACTGCTGAGAATGCAAAATACAGAGCCTCTGTCCTGGGGAAGGTAGTCTTAACTTGCAATCAGGAAAACCACTGTAAAGGCACAGGTATAAAAGGACCTAGTGTGTTTTAAAATAGCAAGAAGCTAAGAGTGTCTGAAGCTTGAAGTCAGTGGTGATTAGGAAGAAATGGAAGCTTCTTCAGCCGGATAAAAGTCATCTAGGAAAAACCCACAGCTCACACCATACTTAATGGTGAAAGACTAAAAGCTTTTCCCCAAGATCAGAAACAAAGCAAAGATGTCTGTTTTAATACTTCCATTCAACCTTTTACTGGAGGTTCTAGCCAGGGCAGTGAGGCAAGAAAAAAAGGAAAAGGCATATAGATTGAAAAGGTAGAAGTAAAACTACCTCCATTCATAGATGACATAATTCTGTTAATAAAAAATCTCAACGAATCTGCAAAAAAACTACTAGAATAAATGAATTTAGTAAAGTTGTGGGATATAAAATCATGACACAAAAGTTGGTTGTTTTTCTATAACACTAGCAATGAACAATCCAAAAATGAAGTAAGCGACCAATAAACTAGCACCTAAAAACAATACTTAGAGCCGGGCGCGGTGGCTCACGCCTGTAATCCTAGCACTTTGGGAGGTCGAGGCGGGTGGATCACGAGGTCAAGACCATCCCGGTCAACATGGTGAAACTCCGTCTCTACTAAAAATACAAAAAATTAGCTGGGCGTGGTGGCACGTGCCTGTAATCCCAGCTACTCAGGAGGCTGAGACAGGAGAATTGCCTGAACCCAGGAGGTGGAGGTTGCGGTGAGCCGAGATCGCACCATCACACTCCAGCCTGGGTAACAAGAGCGAAACTCCGTCTCAAAAAAAAAAAAAAAAAAAAATACTTAGAAATAATTCTAATAAAAGAGGTGCAAGACTTTTCACTGAAATGTGGTCGAGGAAAGAGGTGATGAATGCCTGCGTATGGACCAAGACAGAAAGGCCAGATTTGAGACACATAACTGAAGTAAAATTAAGCCAGTACAGTGACACTTGCCTATAGTCCCAGCTACTTGGGAGGCTGAGCCGAAAGGACTGTTTGAGCCTAGGAGTTCAAAACCAGTCTCGGCAACCAGCAAAACCCCATGTCTCAAAACAAATTGACAGTACTTGATGAACAAGACAATGTATACAGTGATGGAGAAGAAGCTGAGAACATCTTCAGAACCGCTTGTTGACACAAACAGGTGGATTACATTCTGTTGATTGAGCTGGAAAAGACAGTTTAGGCTTGCTCATGCTAAGCCGGAGGCTGACAGGATGTGAAAGTGGAGTTTTGGGATGGTATTTTGAAATGTCGGTCTGAAGTTTATGATGCTTACTTGTTGACATTCCGTTTCAGGGTCTCTAGCTGCTGACGTTCAGGAGCTGTGATCATCTCCTCTATTTCTTGTAACTGTGCCTCCTCTGCACCTGTAGCCTGCATAGATGCAATGATGGCCTCTACCCGCTGAGATTTTTCTAGCAGACGCCTGTCAAACAAACACAACTCTGAGACATGTTTCCTAACCTTGGAGATGCTCTTACCATTTATCTCTGAGGCACGACCCATCACCCTTTTACCATTTTCCTGGTCAAAGTAGATAATGTCACCTTCTAAGGACATTTTCTAGAAACTTACTTGGAAATATACCTTCACTCCTGAAACTCTTACTGCCTCTCATTTGCACTTAAAGTTCAGTGCTTTTGTACGTTTGTCATAAATTTAATCGAAAAAGGATTTCACTGGGAGCATATTAGAAAAGCGTAGACTATGCGTGATTTCTACTAATCTAAGCCAATGATTCAATGCAAGTAGACTGGTTGCTATCTCCGTTGCTTCCTATTTCTCAGAATTTTTTTTTTTTTTTTGAGATGGAGTCACACTCTGTCACCCAGGCTGGAGTGCAGTGCCACGGTATGGCTCACTGCAACCTCCACTCACTGAGTTTAAGCGATTCTCCTGCCTCAGACTCCAGAGTAGCTGGGAATATAGGTGTCCATGACCACACCCAGCTAATTTTTGTATTTTTAGTAGAGAGCCATGTTGGCCAGGCTGGTCTTGAACTCCTGACCTCAAGTGATCCACCTGCCTCAGCCTCCCAAAGTGCTGGGATTACAAGCATGAGCCACTGCACCTGGCCCAGCCTCCATTGGTTCCTGTTTCTATAGGAAATTTCCTCAGGCCCTTGACCTTGAAAAACGTAAATAACTCACCGAAAATGTTACTTACTTGTTCTCTTTGGTTTCAAATTGCCTCCTTTCTATCAAGTTGGCTATGCTCTGAGGAAAGAGAAGACAGACAAGAAATGTACATAGTTCAATTTCAGCAGCTCAGGTAAAATGGGTGAAATGGGCATATGAGGGGGACTTGCCCATGTGGAGGAAATGGGGAGAAGGTCCGGACTGGGTTACCTTGTAGCACCTGTGCAACAACATCCGGGCAGCTGACAGGATGTTCACAGTATATAAATAGAAGGTCCTGGATGGGGCATGGTCTGGTGTTTTGGGAATTTCCTATTTGTCCAATAGAAAAAAAAAAAAGTAACAAAAATTATACTGTTTTGGAACTGGCAAAGTAAACCCTCATTCCATCTGGAGTTACTTAGCCCTCTTTTTTACTTACGTTTTCATGTTTTCTAGTCATTCACTACCTGTGTTTATTTTATTTATTTACTTTGAGACTGGGTCTTGGTCTGTTACCCAGGATGGAGTGTGGTGGTGCGATCTTGGCTCACTGCAACTTCTACCTGGGACTCAGGCAATCCTCCTACCTCAGTATCCGGAGCAGCTGGAACTACAGGCATGTGCCACCATGCTCAACTGATTTTTTCATTTTTGGGGGGAGGTGGGGGAGGAGACATGGTCTCACTATATTGCCCAGGCTGGTCTTGAATTCCTGGGCTTAAGTGACCTTCCTGCCTTGGCTTCCCAAAGTGCTGGGATTACAGGTGTGCCCAGCCCAGTCTCTGTGGTTTATGCTGTAATTGGTTAAATGGAGAGCTGGGCTTCCCTGTTTTTTCCCATTTGACTGTCAGCATCCTGAATAGGGAAGAAATGTAACTAACATTTACTTAGCAATCTGTGTACCAGGTAAATTCTGTAGGATTTTTACAAAAAACCATTTTTTTTTTTGAGACAGAGTCTTGCTCTATCGCCCGGGCTGGCGTGTAGTGGCGCAATCTCGGCTCACTGCAACCTCTGCCTTCTGGGTTCAAGAGATTCTCCTTCCTGCCTCAGCCTCCCAAGTAGCTGGGATTACAGGCACGCGACACCACACCCACCTAATTGTTTTGTACTTTAGGAGAGACAGGGTTTCACCATGTAGGCCAGGCTGGTCTCGAACTCCTGATATCAAGTGATCTGCCCGCCTCGGCCTCCCAGAGTGCTGGGATTCCAGGCGTGAGCCACTGTGCCTGGCTGCCTTTCTTACTAGGGCAGTTAAGGCTCCACATTATCCTCTAAGTGCTTGCTACATCTCTGTGAATCATGTTTTCTGTCTCAGAGCTGGATACAGAGTTTGCTTGGGGATTCAGTATGTTTGCCTGAGAAGCTCCTCTCACCCTACGCTAGCTTGTCTGGTTGGCAGTCTTACACCCTTGGTTACCTGGAGTGATATAAAATTTTCTGAGAGCATCTTATATAGCATATCCTTTGCCTCCTTTGCAGGAATCATTGCAAAGTCTTCCACTTGCTTCTGCTCCAGGTGTTTCTTCTGCAAAACTAGACGGAATATTCTAGCACAGCGAGACCCAAATCTGGAAAAGAATGAAGAAAGCGAATGGCATGCCAACATAGGGAGAGTAGCTTTAGTTCCCAGTCATAAATGGGGTGGTGTTCTATCCCATGTGTGGAACGAGGACCAGAGAGGAACAGTGATAAGAAAATTCTTCCACAGCTCCACAGGCTGGTGATGGTAAGTCATCACCAACTGCTGAACTCATTTGGGTGCCACGGTTCCTACATTTGTAAGCAAAGGCTTTAGGGAGGCTGGTTAATTTGCATTACTAGGACCTAAACAGTAGGTTATTTTAGGGTAAAGAGCAGTATTACATGAGATCCACAGGAGTCCAGTGAAAAAATGGGGCAAAGTGTGCCAAGGTGTGGTATACTGGTTGCTTACATAATGGACAAATTACTTCAGTGGGGATAGGAAGTATCTGATCCCAAACTCCATCAGTGTCCCCCTTACCTCTCTTGTACGACAGACTCCAGAGTGGCTGTGGCTAGAGATGCTAATGCCTTATGGAGGTCTTTAGGTAGAGAATTAAGGTCACTCAGTAACAATCTGGCCTGGTTACTGTGAACTGAGTTTTATTCCTAAATTTCTAATATATAATTAAACTTTAAACGCTACCTCATTTTTCATGTTATAATTTGTGGTTTCAATTATGGTGCATAAATATTCCAAAACTTGAATATGAGTAAGAAAGGCTTTTGCTTAACTAAAATTTGGTTGATTAAAAGTCCTTTTTACTTTTTTTTTTTTTTGAGATAGGATCTCAGGTTGGAGTACAGTGGCATGATCTCAGCTCACTGTAACCTGTGCCTCCTGGGCTCAAGTGATCCTCCCACCTCGGCCTCCTAAGGAACATGGCCAATAAGCCCCGTTACATCTGGCTAGTTTTTGTAGGTTTTGTATAGATGGGGTTTTGCTATGTTGCTCAGGCTGATCTTGAACTCCTGGGCTCATGCAATTCTCCTGCCTCAGCCTCCCAAAGTCCTAGGATTACAGGTGTGAGCCACCATGCCTGGCCTCTTTTTACTTCCTTATCATCAATGCAGTTCACTGTAAATTCACAGAAAAATTTATTTAGCAATTATTTCAATTTTCTGACTTATTTAGTATAATAAACATTACCAAATACTTCGTTCCTAAGGCACCATTCTGACTTATAGGTCAGGCTGCCTGACTGTAAGGAAATAACTGGTAAGGATACTGATGACATACATTCCTCCACCACTGTCGCCAGACTTTCCCACAAACTCTAGCTATTGAGAAAAAGAGAGAGTATTAACTGAATGGAAAGTCCAGTGATTCTGTTTCCAATGGAACAAATCTGACCAAAAGTCTGTAGCAGGTAGCCCTCCTATCAAATAGTGTGGAGAAATTATCTGCGCTGGCTAGGTAGAGAATAAGACTATAGCAGAATGAAACTAGGAGTCAGTGCAGAAATAAACTGTCAACAGAACAGGCTAAAGAAAAAAGAAAAAACAGACTTACTGGATCATCTGCCAGCAGAGTGAGATACTGATCAAGAACTTGCTTAGAGATGTTATAGCCAACAGGTAGGGATCTGAAGATCTATGGAGCAAAAGACATTTAAAATGGGTTTGGAAACTTAGAACTGCTGACTTTACCGAAATAAAGATCTTTTAGGCTGGGTACAGTGGCTCATGCCTCTTAATTCCAGCACTTTGGGAGGCTGGGGCAGGTGGATTGCCTGGGGTCAGGAGTTGGAGACCAGGCTGACCAACATGGTGAAACCCCATCTTTACTAAAAATACAGAATTAGCTGGGTGTGGTGGCGTGTGCCTGTAATCCCAGCTACTTGGGAGGCTGAGGCAGGAGAATTGCTTGAACCTGGGAGGTGGAGGTTGTGGTGAGCCGAGATCGCACCACTGCACTCTGGCTTGGGCTAAAAGAGCAAAACTCTGTCTCAAAAAAAAAAAAAAAAAAAAAAAAAAAAAGAGTCTTAATTTTAGATATCACAAAATCATCCAAAAATATTCATAGCAGGTTTATAAGAGTAAAAAACCGGAAACATCCAAAAGACCAGTACTGAGTAGTATATTAAAATAAAGTACAGCATGGTCATTAAGTGGAATATAATACAGTCATTATAAAGAGTGGGACAAATCTATAAAAACTGACATGTAAAGAAGTTTTACTGGCCGGGCATGGTGGCTCACGCCTGTAATCCCAGCACCTTGGGAGGCTGAGGTGGGCAGATCATGAGGTCAAGAGATCAAGACCATCCTGGCCAACATGGTGAAACCCCATCTTTACTAAAAATACAAGAACTAGCTGGGTGTGGTGGCGCACACCTGCAGTCCCAGCTACTCGGGGAAGCTGAGGCAGGAGAATCGCTTGAACCTGGGAGGCAGAGGTTGCAGTGAGCAGAGACTGCACCACTGCACTCCACCAGGCAACAGAGCAAGACTGTTTCAAAACAAACAACAGAAGACAGTAAAAGAATACATATTTATTATCAATTTTTTATTTTTATTTTTGTTTTTTTTTGAGACGGAGTCTCGCTCGTTACCCAGGCTGGAGTGCAATGGCGCGATCTCGGCTCACCGCAACCTCTGCCTCAGCCTCCTGAGTAGCTGGGATTACAGGCACGCGCCACCATGCCCAGCTGATTTTTTGTATTTTTTTTTTTTTTTTTTTTTGACAGAGTTTCGCTCTTGTTACCCAGGCTGGAGTGCAATGGCGCAATCTCGGCTCACCGCAACCTCCGCCTCCTGGGTTCAGGCGATTCTCCTGCCTCAGCCTCCTGAGTAGCTGGGATTACAGGCACGAGCCACCACGCCCAGCTAATTTTTTGTATTTTTAGTAGAGACGGGGTTTCACCACGTTGACCAGGATGGTCTCGATTTCTTGACCTCGAGATCCACCCGCCTCAGCCTCCCAAAGTGCTGGGATTACAGGCTTGAGCCACCGCGCCCAGCTTAAATGTCAATATTTTAAATACAAGGCGTCAAATAATGTCCTGAATGCCAAGGCTCTCAGGGTCCAAATCCTAGATTCTTAAAATAATTAGGAATAGGCTATACTTGACAAATAGATACTCTGACTAAGTGAATGATGTAGATTTTGAAAAGCTAGATCCTAAGAGACCAAACATTTCAGTGCTCACCACTTGAAGATAATCCTTGCCCCACATCAAACAAACGCCCTTCTCTTTCAAGGCTCAGACCTCAATCTAACACCAGGATCTGTGTATGATAAATGTTGTTAATACCCAAGAGTGTGTCCGAAAGCTGGCACAAGAACATGAAACTCACCTCATTGGAAGACAATGGCTGGGTGAAAGGAGCACTAGAGGAAGTGGTAATCTCACTCATTCGGAGCATGGTTCGCACAATCTCGCTGCTTGTCTATGTTTGAAAGGTAAACTGGAATTCAGAAATCACTGTGCTACCCCCACCCGCCACTGGCTCTATGTGACAATGGCCATATCTGACAAGTAAGTGAATATTCCTGATGACCAATGACAGACCTATTTAGGTATTACCTGGTCCATCCTGTTAGCAACAGCACTCACGATGGCTTGGTCACGGAAGTGTTGGTGGAATCTGTCAAGGTTGGCCTGCCAATAAATCCCATCATCTGGAATGGGCTGAGCAAGAGAAAAGACTTAGAGAGAAACATTTAAATACAGCATAGAGTTTTCTGAGGAGCTTGGATTTAATGGTTCACCATTTCTTTTCCTACATACTAACAACTACATTCGTTGGAGACAAATCATTCAGTCATGTAGACTGGTGTCTAGACAAATCCCAACTTCAAACAGGTTCTCTAACATCATCTCCAATCTTTCCTTCCTATTTTATTAATTTTTATTTATTTTTTTGAGATGGAGTTTTGCTCGTCACCCATGCTGGAGTGCAGTGGCGTGATCTCTGCTCATTGCAACCTCTGCCTCATGGGTTCAAGCCATTCTCCTGCCTCAGCCTCCTGAGTACTGGGATTACAGGCCCCCACCACTGTGCTTGGCTAATTTTTGTATTTTTAGTAGATTTGGAGTTTCACCACATCCAGGCTGATCTCGAACTCCTCACCTCAGGCGATCCCCCTGCCTTGGCCACCCAAAGTGCTGGGATTACAGGCATGAGCCACCGCTTCTGGCTTTTCTCTCCCTATTATAACTCTTCTCCATTACCCTCAAGTCTCTAACTTGACCCTTCTTCCTTCTTGCTCTCAGCAGATGACCTTGTTTCTGATTTCACAAAGAAAATAAAGGCCACTAGGCCAGAATTTATTCAGCTTTGTGCATGTCCTTATCACATTTCTTTATGTTTTTAATTTCTATTTTTACTCACTTTTATCACAGCTGAAAAATGTTCCTTTTACCTAAGGTTAAAGCCCATACTGGTATTCCAGACCTTACCCTCTCATTCATTTTTGGGGATCCAGCTCTATTTCACCTTGTCCTCTAACATCTTCAGCCTTTCCTTCACTACTACCTTCTTCTTTTTTTTTTTTTTTGAGACGGAGTTTCGCTCTTGTTACCCAGGCTGGAGTGCAGTGGCGCGATCTCGGCTCACCGCAACCTCCGCCTCCTTGGTTCAGGCGATTCTCCTGCCTCAGCCTCCTGAGTAGCTGGGATTACTGGCACGCGCCACCATGCCCAGCTAATTTTTTGTATTTTGAGTAGAGACGGGGTTTCACCATGTTGACCGGGATGGTCTCGATCTCTTGACCTCGTGATCCCCCGCCTCGGCCTCCCAAAGTGCTGGGATTACAGGCTTGAGCCACCGCGCCCGGCAACTACTGCCTTCTTCTTACCAGCCTTTATCCTGTCCAAGTCTCTTCTACTCTAGAATTCTCCTTCAATCCTATGCCTCCTCTTCTTTGAGATGGCCAAGCGTCTCAAAGAGTTGGCCATCTCAGCTGTACCTCCATTTAGATTTACTCAACCCATTTCCACTACCGTCCTGAAATGTCAATTGTCACTCACATTCCAGTGAAATACCACGATGGCCCTTGAGGACTCTATGTTGTTAAGTTCAAATAATACTTTCCACTTATGATCTTGTTTAATCTTTAGGAAGCATATGACATGGACATTTTTTCCTTCTTAAAACTTTATGTGGCTCCTTGCATTTTATGATATCATTTTTTTTTTTTTCTTTTAAAGACAGGGTCTCTGTCACCCAGGCTGGAGTGCAGTGGTGTGATCATAGTTCACTGCAGCCCTGAACTCCCTGGGCTCAGGTAATCCTCCCACCTTAGCCTCCCAAGCAGCTGTGACCATGGGTGCGTGCTACCACACTCAGGTAATTTTTGTATTTTTGGTAGAGACAGGGTCTCACCATGTTGCTCAGGATGATCTCAAATTCCTAGGCCCAAGTGATCTGCCTGCCTTGGCCTTCCAAAGTATTAGGATTACAGGCGTGAGCCACTTGGCTGGGGAACATCATTTTTTCTTGGTGCTACTTTGAATCTTTCTGGCTACCTTTTCCCAGTCTCCACAGATTCCTCTTTCAGACGCCACCTATAATACTGATGCTTCCTTTCATTTTACTCTACACGTTCTACTTGGGTAATTTTATCTGCTCTCCAGACTTCAATTATTAATGCACTTCCAAATCTGTTACTCTATCCTAGAACTTTTTCTTTTTTTCTTTTTTTTCTAAGATGTTTTGCTCTTTTGCCCAGGCTCCAGTGAAATAGCACAATCTCAGCTCACCGCAACCTCTACCCTCCAGGTTCAAGTGATTCTCATGCCTCAATCTCCCAAGTAGCTGGGATTACAGGCCCACGCCACCATGACCGGCTGATTTTTGTATTTTTAGAAGAGACGGGGTTTCACCATGTCGGTCAGGCTGATCTCAAACTCCTGACCTCAGGTGATCCACCTGCCTCGGCTCCCAGAGTGCTGGGATTCCAGGCGGAAGCCACTGCGCTCGGCCGCTTATTGACATCTTTATGGGCGTGCTAAGAAGGCATCTGAATATATGAGTTCAGGCCTATTTATAATTTTTAGACTCATTTTTCACCACTGGCCCCTATAGGTCTTTAGGTTCTAGGCATATTGAGCAACCTACACTTTTTCTAGGCCCCTTTTTGCATAAGCTGTTACCTCTGTTCAATGAATGTATGAAGTTAAGGCTCAGAAGGGAGACAGTAATGGTTCATTTTTTGTACGTCTATTCCTGCTAACACTTAATGAGGTTCACAATCTGACTGCTTCTTAGCTCAGGAAGAATCTTTTTTTTTTTTTTTTTTTTGAGACAGAGTTTCGCTCTTGTTACCCAGGCTGGAGTGCAATGGCGCGATCTCGGCTCACCGCAACTTCCGCCTCCGGGGTTCAGGCAATTCTCCTGCCTCAGCCTCCTGAGTAGCTGGGATTACAGGCACGCGCCACCACGCCCAGCTAATTTTTTGTATTTTTTAGTAGAGACGGGGTTTCACCATATTGACCAGGATGGTCTCGATCTCTTGACCTCGTGATCCACCCGCCTCGGCCTCCCAAAGTGCTGGGATTACAGGCTTGAGCCACCACGCCCGGCCCAGCTCAGGAATCTTGACGGCCCAGCTCAGGAATCTTGACGCTCTCTTGGGGCTCCTTATCTGAGTGCTCTTCCTGGCCTGCTTCAGGGTGAGGACTTCTAATCAAGAAGCTCCATTACCTCCTTGTTATCTGTAGTATGTTTTGGTCTCTTGGCCTTGGGTTCCCCAGCAGCCTCTTCATCAGATGACCTCCGCCTTTTACCTTTCCCTGCCAAACAAACAATTGAATACTTAGGCTGTATCTCACATGATGACAGGAAATGACCAGGTGTCTTTCATTCCGAAGACAGCTGTAGCTGCCTCTAGATCAGAGTTGCTTAGGGGGCTGAAAAGCTATAAGAAATGATGAAGGGCCGGGCGCGGTGGCTCAGGCCTGTAATCCCAGCACTTTGGGAGGCCGAGCCGGGTGGATCACGAGGTCAAGAGATCGAGACCATCCTGGTCAACATGGTGAAACCCTGTCTCTACTAAAAATACAAAAAATTAGCTGGGCATGGTGGCGCGTGCCTGTAATCCCAGCTACTCAGGAGGCTGAGGCAGGAGAACTGCCTGAACCCAGGAGGTGGAGGTTGCGGTGAGCCGAGATCACTCCATTGCACTCCAGCCTGGGTAACAAGAGCGAAACTCCATCTCATAAAAAAAAAAAAAAAAAAGAAAGAAAGAAATGATGAAATAATCTGAAACTCAACATGTTCAAAAAGAGACTCATAGTCTTTCTCCTTCAAAGACGAGTTCTCCTCCTATGCTCTCTTTCATGGCCAATGACATCATCATCCTCCCACATGCACAAGTCAGATACACAGATGTCATTCTTGCTACCTGTCTCCTTCACCCTTTCTATATTTCATTTTTCACCAGTCTGTCAACACTGACCTTTGCCCCACCCTCCCATCCTTTCTAAAGACAAAAAATCTTTTAAAAGTATAACTTAGACCATGTCACTTCCTTAAAAATCCTTTAGTGGTTTTCCTTTGCCTTAGCATAAAGAACAGATGCTCTGTAAGGTCTTACTTGATTTAGCCCCTGCCTGTCTCCCATCCAAGTGCTAAGCAGGTAGATCCTGATTAGCTCCTGAGATCAGACCTCTGCCTATCTCTAAACTTATCTCATACCTCTCTTGCTTTGCTTACCATGCTTTAGCTATACTGACATTATTTCATTTCTTCAAATGCGATTTGTTTACTATATAATATTCCCTTTGCCAAAAATGCTTTTCCTGTTACCTCGCTGTTAGCTTCTGTTTAAAATTTTAGCTCAAATGCCACCTTCTCAAAGAAACACGAGTCCAAAAACTCCCAGATGAATCCAGCCCCCCATTATATAGTTTTCTTTCTTTCTCTCTCTCTTTTTTTTTTTTTTTTTGAGACAGAGTCTCACTCTGTCACCCAGGCTGGAGTGCAGTGGCGCAATCTTGACTCACTGCAACCTCTGTCTCCTGGGTTCAAGCAATTCTCCTGCCTAAGCCTCCCAAGTAGCTGGGATTACAGGCATGCGCCACCAAACCTGGCTAATTTTTGTAATTTTAGTAGAGATGGGATTTCACCATGTTGCCCACGCTGGTCTCAAACTCGCGGCCTCAAATGATTCAGCCACTTCAGTCTCCCAAAGTCTCCATTATGTATTTTCATAACACCTCATACTTTTCCTTCATAGTACTTATCCCAGTTTAATTATGTATCAATGTGATTTTCTGATTAATGTATGTCTCTTATACTAAAGCCCCATGGCAGAGACCATGACTTTTTCCTTGTTATACATCACAATGTCTGGCACATAGCAAATACTCGGTAAACGTTCAACTGGTTCATACTTTTAACAATCAAGAAGAATCCACAGTTAAGGCAAGTCCCAGTTCCAGGGGTTAAAATTCCTTACCTATCAAGCTCAGCTTAGGAACCAGGTACATGTCCTTCTCATTCATGACAAGTGTGGGGGCAGGTGGTGGCGGCCCAGGGTCTGAATTCTCAGTGGTAGGTACTGAGGGGCAGCGTTGTACAAAGTGTGTGTCTGCCAATCGTACAAATGTGTTTGATACTTCAGCATAGTCCATGGTCTTGCCATCTGTGTAACAGGAGGAAAAAGGCAGATGAGACGGCCTAAGACAGCTCAGGGTCCACTCATGCAGCCAGCTGATTTACGCTGTTGCTAACAGCTGTGGATACAGTACTGACCCTCCATGGTCTCTGTGAGCCGGTCTGCCACTTTCTTCACAACAGCTGACATTGTCAGTTTGCCATTTAACAGAAGCTCCTCAACAATCAGCTCTCCAGTGTCACTGTACAGAGTTTTGGTAGTATAGATGTACCGGGGATATCTCAGCATTCGTAATACCCGGCTGCACTGGGCTTCATACTCCACCACGCCACGTTTGTGCACTTGGTAACTCACCAGGTTATGTTGGACAAGAACACACAGGGCTTTTTTCACCTGCATGGGACGTAAAGAGGAGAAAGAGAGAAAAGACCTGAAGATATAGCTCATTACTGCTGGCAATTTTTTGTCCAACAGCTTACTAAGCATCAGAAAATGGCTAGATAAGAATCTCTGCACTTACTTCCTCTCTCCATTGGAGTAGCTAATAAGAATCACATATCAATATAAGAAATCATTGCCGGGCGCGGTGGCTCACACCTGTAATCCCAGCACTTTGGGAGGCCGAGGCGGGTGGATCACGAGGTCGAGAGATCGAGACCAACCTGGTCAACATGGTGAAACCCCGTCTCTACTAAAAATACAAACATTAGCTGGGCATGGTGGCGCGTGCCTGTAATCCCAGCTACTCAGGAGGCTGAGGCAGGAGAATTGCCTGAACCCAGGAGGCGGAGGTTGCAGTGAGCCGAGATCGCGCCATTGCACTCCAGCCTGGGTAACAAGAGCGAAACTCCATCTCAAAAAAAAAAAAAAGAAATCAGGAAGATTCCTTGCTATATTTTCTCTGATGCTTATCTTTCAAAACACAATTTACTTTCCTTCTATCATTCTCATTCTTTAAGGCAGTAGTGAGGTTAGTAGACTTACTGTGAATAAATGAGGCCTGGTGTGGGAAGAGCAAAGATTTGCCTAAGAAGCTGTGATGAACTAGAAACACTTTTGAGAAACAAAATGCTGATGCCTAAGCCCCATGCTTTTCTCCCCCAAATAACATTGATTGCTCCCAGGGCAGGCTTGTTCATTTTTTCCTTTTCTGGGGTGAGAAGAACAATATTCAAAGGTGGGCGAAATAAATTAGTGAAATAAATGAGAGAAAATGAATGTCACTTAGACGTACCTGATCCAGTGATGTTCCTGTGTCATGGGCAATTACTCTTAGTGGCTGGCTGCCAGTTCTTACCAGGTGGACTCCAATTTTTTCTACAATCTCTCCAAAATGCTCTTGCAGCAACAAAGAACAGAGCTTAATTTCTGCTTGAGTCATTGTACTGGGGAGTCTGAGAATTAGGGGAAAAAACACCAAAACAGTACGATGGAAAGTCTTTCTTTCATGCTGGAAGCAGAATTGCACAGTGTAAATTCATGGGTTCTTTCTGGAGGGCAATTTGACAATACACATCAAAAAGCCTTAAAAATCTTGCATTATCTTTGAAACAGCAGTTTCTTTTTGGGTACTATGTCCAAGCAAGGAATAAAAAGTTAATAAAGTCACCAGGTGCAGTGGCTCATGCCTGTAACCCAGCACTCTGGGAGGCCAAGGCAGGCGGATCACTTGAGGTAAGAAGTTCAAGAACAGCCTGGCCAACGTGGTGAAACACTGTCTCTACTAAAAAAAAAATAAATAAATAAAAAAATAAATAAAATAAATAAATAAATAAATTAGCTGGGCGTGGTGGCACGTGCCTGTAGTCCCCACTACTCAGGAGGCTGAGGCACGACAATCGACAATCGCTTGAATCCAGGTGGTAGAGGCTGCAGTGAGCTGAGATCCGGCCGCTGCACTCCAGCCTGGACAACAGAGCAATACTCTGTCTGAATTGAAAAAACAAACAAACAAACAAACAAAAAACCATAATAATAATAAAATCACTAGTTCTCTTTACGATACCGACTTGGTTGAAACAATCTAATGTCTAACGGTAAATGATGGCATACTACACCGACATTTAAAGTTATTAAGTACCATGTGTATTCGTGTAGAAAATTATTCATAATATATTGATAGAAGCTGCAAAAAATTAACATTCGATTATTGTAAAAAAAAAAAAAGGAAAAACGTATGCATAGAGAAAGACTATGCATCAAGTTTATCTTTATGGGATTATGCGTGATTCTGATTGTCTTTAAAGATTGGGAGATTATTTTACAGTCTGTCACAGATCTTGTTTTCTTTTCTTTTCTTTTTTTTTTTTGAGACGGAGTTTCGCTCTTGTTACCTAGGCTGGAGTGCAATGGCGCGATCTCGGCTCACCGCAACCTCCGCCTCCTGGGTTCATTTCTCCTGCCTCAGCCTCCTGAGTAGTTGGGATTACAGGCGTGCGCCACCATGCCCAGCTAATTTTTTTTTTTGTATTTTTAGTAGAGACGGGGTTTCACCATGTTGACCAGAATAGTCTCGATCTGTTGACCTCGTGATCCACCCGCCTCGGCCTCCCAAAGCCCTTAGTTTCTACACTTCATTGCTTAGGAGAATTAAGGTCATTGTTCACAGCCCAGTGGGAGTGAGCAGGTAGTGTTCATTCTCAGTGAACATTCTCAGCCCATAAAAGAAATAATTTCGAAAAAGAAATTTAGGAGGTAAAAGACTGCTTCTTAACAGGGTGTGTCAAATGGGAGATGAGGTTACGCTGTTTGCAGGGCAATATTCAATCCTGAAACTTCAGCTCCTTGACAAAGTTGACACAATCAGAAACTGATGTAGTTGTTTATATGATTACTTCTTTATTACAAATTGCTACCAATTCTTTTTTTTTGGGGGGGGGGACGGAGTTTTGGTCTTGTTACCCAGGCTGGAGTGCAATGGCACGATCTCAGTTCACCGCAACCTCCGCCTCTTGAGTTCAGGCAATTCTCCTGCCTCAGCCTCCTGAGTAGCTGGGATTACAGCTGCCACCATGCCCAGCTAATGTTTTGTATTTGTAGTAGAGACGGGGTTTCACCATGTTGACCAGGATGGTCTCTATCTCTCGACCTCGTGATTCACCCGCCTCGGCCTCCCAAAGTGCTGGGATTACAGGCTTGAGCCACCACGCCCAGCCAATTTTTTGTATCTTTAGTAGAGACGGGGTTTCACCATGTTGACCAGGATGGTCTCGATCTCTCGACCTCGTGATCCACCCGCCTCGACCTCCCAAAGTGCTGGGATTACAGGCTTGAGCCACCGCGCCCGGCCAAATTGCTACCAATTCTTAAGAAGCCAAGTCTTTGGCACCCCCGCCTAAGCATCACCAAGAGACCTATCTCATCCCTGCACGTATCTCTGGAGAACCACTCCCAGACCCCCTGCCGTCCGCGGAAAGGACGTCAAGGCGCCTGGCTCCTGGCTCTTCACTCCCTTTATAAAGCTTCCCGCTCCGGACTCGGTCTCTCGCTCACAGTCAGCGCCGCCTCGCTCAGACCGCATGTTCCACTAACCTCAGGGTCAGCCCAATCCAGAGGCTCCAAACCCGACGCCTCTGAGCTCCCGCCGACCTTCCAAGCGGAGGTGGAGCCCACCGCCCCTTCTAGAAAGAGGGCGGCCACGGAAAAAACAACGGCCACGGAAACCAGGACGAGCACGGAAGACGAGGCGGAAAGGCGAACGGCGCGTGCCGCTCTAGCCCCGCGTCTCGGCGGCTTCCGGGGACGCTCTTTCCTTCTTCTCGCTGGAAGGCTGGAGGACCGGCGAGGGGCCGCCTGAGGGGCCGGCGGGCGGGCGGGTTGTCGCTCCTTCCGGCTCCTCCTCGGTCGCCGTCAGCGCCGCCGCCTCTCTGGGTCGGGCCGGCTCACGTGACCAACGCGGGCTCTGAAGCGGTGGGCCGGACCGAGACGGCGGCGGCGACTGCGGCTCGCGAGGTAGCGGCCTGGAGACGGACGGGCCGGCTGCCCTCTCGGACGGCCGCGGCGGAGGACGAAAATGGCGGAGGCCTCGGCGGCCGGGGCGGACTCGGGCGCCGCTGTGGCTGCCCACCGGTTTTTCTGCCACTTTTGCAAGGGCGAGGTCAGCCCCAAACTACCGGTAAGAGCCCCGTGTCCTCTGTCCTCGGGAACCGCATAGATTCCTGGCCCCCACGTCCCGGAACTGGGTCCGGCGCTTCCCGCACGGCCCCGGCTCCCCCGACCCCGGTCTGCCGAGTACCTGCTGCCCCGTGTCTGCAGCCGCCGGCCCCGAACCCCGGGCGTCGCGGTCCCGGCGCCGTGCCGCCCGCTCCCCTCTTACTCATCCTGGGCTGCCCCACCTGCCCTCGCGTCTTTACCTCCCTCCCTCCATCTTTGACAACTCTCCCATCCATTTTCTTGCACTCTCCTACCTTGTCTTTTTCCCACGGTGACCTCCCCCCGTACTCTCTTCCTCTGTGTCTTCTCACCTTTCTCTATTTTCACACTTTTCGCCGCTCCCCGGCCCCCCCCCCCCCCCCCCCGCACTCGTCTTCTCAGTGGAGCAAAATAGCGGATTGCTGAGGATTGTCCCTATTCGGTTGTCCCTAGGGGAGGAAGCACAGAAAGCGGGTTGGGAGGTAACTGGGAGGCGGGAAGGGGCATTTTGCTTTTCAGTGGTTTCCAGGGTCCTTGTGCAAGTGAAAACAGCACACTGTTAATGACTTGCAGACGGCCTGCACTCCTGTCGCTGTTGAAGGAAATGGCTTTAGGAAGGAGGCAGGACTTACTGTTTCAACTTCGTTTAATTTGGTTGTCATGCTGCCAGTGTCTTTAATACCATTGTTCTGCCCCCCCACCCCCCACCCCGCGCACCCTGTGTCTTTCTTCATTTAAGAAAAAGATCCCTGACAGAATGTTTTAACGAGTTGCTGCCAGACTGTTACCCCTTGAGAGGCAGTGCTGTAGCGGTGAAGAAAACACTTTCGTCGGTCAGGCTCGGGTCTGCAATCTCAGTGCTTTGGGAGGTCGAGGCAGGAGGATTGCTTGAGGCCAGGAGTTTCAGACCAGTCTGGGCAACACAGTGAGACCCCTAAGAAAAACACTTAAGCAGCATACTAGCCAGCACCAGCATCACAAACCCAGGAGCTGTCTTGAGTTGGGTTGTAGCTACTGCGAGGAGCCCCCCAGGGTGAATGGCAATCCTGTCCTTGGCCAACTGTCTTTATGATTGTTCCTTTCCTTGGAAGTTTCCGGGTTCAGTCTTATGGTAGAGTGGCAACGTAATAATTGATGTTTGTATTTATGGTGTCTCAGATATAGTCTAGGAGAAAGCCTTCTAAAGTGACTCTGTATATCTTATTTCTTAGAAGCACAAATGGAGTCCAGGGAATAAGTGCTTAAAGGGTGTTTAATAGTCTTTTCTCACTCAAAAGTTTTGTTTAAGGCTTTTTTTTTTTTTTTTTGAGATAGTCTCTATTGCCCAGGAGCATGATTTTGGCTGATTCCAACCTCCACCTCCCGGGTTCAAGCGATTCCTTTGCCTCAGCCTCCTGAGTTTCAAGTAGCTGGAACTAGAGACATGTGGCCACCAACCTTGGCTAATTTTTTTGTTTTTAGTAGAGATGGAGTTTCACCATGTTGGCCAGACTGGTCTCGAACTCTTGACCTCAAGTGATCTGCCCGACTCAGGCTCCCAAAGTGCTGGTATTACAGGTTCGAGCCACCACTCCCTGCCTACATGCTGCTTAGTTTTGCTTGCTGATTTTGCTCTGTGATGATGATGATAATGATTTTTTTTTTTTTTTTGGCCATATTTCAGTGCTGGGAAGAGCAGGTGCCTTGTTTTTTTTCCAGCTAACATCAGAGCCTGCACAAGTCTTACCATAGAGAGGGGAGTCAGGAATTCAGCCAGTATGTATGTGACCAGTGGTGTGTTGTTGAATGTGATGCCTTGTTGAATATTGCAACCTTAGCTTTTTTCGTCTTTTAGTTGCTGTTCATTATTTATTATTTTGCCTTTAAGAGTGAGAAGTTAGCCGGGTGCGGTGGCTCAAGCCTGTAATCCCAGCACTTTGGGAGGCTGAGGCGGGTGGATCACGAGGTCGAGAGATCGAGACCATCCTGGTCAACATGGTGAAACCCCGTCTCTACTAAAGATACAAAAAATTAGCTGGGCATGGTGGCACGTGCCTGTAATCCCAGCTACTCAGGAGGCTGAGGCAGGAGAATTGCCTGAGCCCAGGAGGCGGAGGTTGCGGTGAGCCGAGATCGCGCCATTGCACTCCAGCCTGGGTAACAAGAGTGAAACTCCGTCTCAAAAAAAAAAAAAAAAAAAGAGTGAGAAGTTGGCCAGGTGTGGTGGCTCATGCCTGTAATCCCAGCACTTAGGGAGTCCAAGGTGGGTGGATCACTGGAGCTCAGGAATTCGAGACTAGCTTGGGCAACGTGGCGAAACCCTTTCTCTACCAAAAACCACAAAAATTTGCCGTGCGTGGTGGCATGTGCCTGTAGTCCCAGCTCTTCAAGAGGCTGAGGTAGGAGGATTGCCTGAGCCTAGGAGGTGGAGGCTGCCATGAGCTGAGATCACACCATTGCACTCCAGCCTGGGCAATAGAGCAAGACCCTGTCTCAAAAAAAAAGGAGGGAGAAGACAGTCTCAGTTTCCACAGTTGATTATATCTTGTCTTATCACCTTAAGTCCTTACTTCAAAGGGATCATTTGAAAGGCTGAATAGGTGTTTTTCTAAGCTTTAGTTAATGCCTGGAGAAGTTTCTTGATCATTTTGGTCTGATATATTATTTGTCACCTCTGATTTGTCACCACGATTGAATATAACCGGATGCTTCCTAAATACATCCAGGGTGTTCTGCTTAGTGTTCTGGAGGTGACATGGAGCAATATGTGGTTCTTGCCCTTAAGGACCTTACAGCTTTTGGGCAAAGACAAGGCAAACATGGAAAAAGTAACAACGTCAAGGGAATGAAGTTATGTGGTTTAGAATTCAGAGAGGGAATTTTCATAGCATTGTGTTGAATTTTGAGGAATAGGTACATTTCAGTTTGAGAATTCCAGAGACTGTGTGATGAAGAAAGGAGAAACATTTAATAAATCATGGGTTTTTTTTTCTTTTTCTTTTTTTTTTGAGACGGAGTCTCGTGCTGTTCCTGGGGCTGGAGTGCAATGGCATGATATTGGCTCACTACAACCTCTACCTCCCAGGTTCAAGTGATTCTCCTGCCTCAGCCTCCCAAGGAGCTGGGGTTACAGGTGCCCGACACTACACCTGGCTAATTTTTTGTATTTTTAGTAGAGACGGGTTTTGCTGTGTTGGCCAGGCTGGTCTCTAACTCCTGACCTCGTGATTTGCCCGCCTGGGCCTCGCAAAGTGCTGGGATTACAGGCATGAGCCACCGTGCCTGGCCTTGTTTTTTTTCCACCACTAAAAATTGTCGTATACTGTATTTTTTATAGTATACAACATGATTTGATATATGTATACACTGAATGGGTAAATCAAGTTATTTAACATGCGTTACCTCATATACTTATTTTTGTGTGGTGAAAACACTTAAAATCTACTGTCACAGCATTTTCAAATATACAGTATATTCTTTTTTTGTTTTTATTTGAGATGGAGTCTTGCTCTGTCACCCAGGCTACAGTGCAGTGACTCACTGTAACCTCCATCTCCTGGGTTCAAGTGAGTGATTCTCTTGCCTCAGCCTCCACAGTAGCTGGGATTATAGGCGCCCATCAACACGCCCGGCTAATTTTTATATTTTTAGTAGTGACGGGGTTTCACCCAGGCTGGTCTTGAAATCCTGACCTTGAGATCCACCCACCTCAGCCTCCCAAAGTGCTGAGATTATACAGGTGTAAGCCACCACACGCACCTGGCCAATATACAGTGTATTCTGATTTTTTCTTTTTAAGTAGAGACACAGTCTTACTTATTGCCCAGGGTGGTCTTGAACTTGTGGGTTCAATCGATCCTCAGCCTTCTGAGTAGTAGTAAATAGGTGTGTGCCATCATGCCTAGCTAATTTATTTTTCTTTTTTGTAGAGATAGGATTTTGCCATGTTGCCCTGGCTTGTCTCAAACTCCTAGACTCAAGCAATCTGCCTGCCTCAGCCTCCCAAAGTGCCGGGTTACAGGTGTGAACCATTGTGCCTGGCTCGATACATAGTTTTCACTTTTTTTTGTTTTTGAGACAGAGTCTTGCCCTGTCGCCCAGACTGGAGTGCAATAGTGCAATCTCAGCTCACTGCAGCCTCCACTTCCTGGGTTCAAGCGATTCTCCTGCCTCAGCCTCCTGAGTAGCTGGGATTACAGGGATGCGCCACCATGCCTGGCTAATTTTTTGTATCTTTAGTAGAGACGGAGTTTCACCATGTTGGCCAGGCTGGTCTCAAACTCCTGACCTCGGGATCTGCCCGCCTTGGCCTCCCAAAGCACTGGGATTACAGGTGTGAGCCAACACACCTGGTCTGACCAACGTGGTTTTTGTTTTTAATTTTATATGATGCATCACATTTATTGATTTGCATGTGTGGAACTAACCTTGGATCCCAGGAGTAAAGACTACCTGATTGTGGTGGATTCGCTTATTTATTTCTTTTCTTTTTTTTTTTTTGTTTTTTTGTTAGCTTTTTATTTTTTTATTTTTATTTTTTTGAGGTGGAGTCTTGCTCTGTCACCCAGGCTGGATGGAGTACAGCGGAACAAGTTTGGCTCACTGCAACCTCTGCCTCCTGGACTTAAGTGATTCTTGTGCCTCACCCTCCCAAGTAGCTGAGATTACAGATGTGCACCACCAGGCCTGGCTAATATTTGTATTTTCAGTAGAGGCATGGTTTCCCCAGGTTGGTCTTGAAATCCTGATCTCAAGTGATCTGCCCCTCCTTGGCCCCCCAAAGTACTGGGATTACAGGCTGCTGTGAGGCACTGCAGTGGCCTGGATTAGCTTTTCAATGTGCCGCTGGTTCGGTTTGTTAGTGTTTTGTTTAGGATTTTTGTGTCTGTGTTCATCAGGGATATTGGCCTGGAGTTTTCTTTTTTTCATTGTGTCTTTGCCAGGTTTTGCTATCAGAATGCTGCTGGCCTCATAGAATGGGTGGGTTAGGGAAGAGTCCCTCCT